CTCTGTCTTTAATGACTCTATCTCCTTCCCTGTCTCTTGTCCCTTCATTCTTTTTTTCTCTCCGTGTCACTCTTCTCTCTGTGTAATCATCCCAGCATCCATCTCCTCTCATCAATCCACCTCGTCACTTCTCCCCTTTAAACTCCACCTCCTTCTCCTCCTCCTCCTCCTCCTCTCCCCTTTTAATCACTCTATCCCATCCTGCTGCTCCTCTGCCTCTCCTCTGTTGCCAGGGAAACAGCAGTCCATTCTGTAGCTGTTAATCTTTTGACATTGTCTTTCTATTACCTGTGGGTCAGATGCCTGATAAGGAGGACAAAGGGTGGGAAACCAAAGAGCGACTCATTTTAAACGTTTGTAAAATGTTCATGAACACGTGTGAATTCTGCAGTTACAGAACAGCCTGCGGGGAGAAATGTTTACTGCAGTAAACAAATATTATTCTCACTCATACGAACTCTGCGGGGATGTAAACAAGCTAATCCAGTACAGCAATAAATCCTGTCTTTGTGGATTATATGTTCAGTTTTTGTTGACACTATCAGACAAGAGCTGAGTCTACCCTGTGGTGATTTTGAAGGGTGTTGTTATGGATCACATTTTCTTTATTTCATTATCCTGGAATCCTTCACACCCCATCTATACATAGTTCTCATTTCAAACCAAAATCTGTTGGCTGCAAAGAACGCTGACCTTCCTGCCTCCTTCAGTCTCGCGAGGGGTTGCATCCTCATCAAAGTTTTCCCTCCCCTTTGTTTTTTTTATATTGCTGAGTTAGCACGTATGCCTTTTTCTTTTCCATCTTCTAATTCTCTCTCTATCTTTTCCTCACTTTCTGTTCTCTCCTCTGAATTTTATTTCACTCTTTCCAACTGCCTAATTATTCCCTTTCATCCCTCTTTCTCCCCATACTCATCTATCACCTCTCCTTACTTTTTCTCTGCTACTGCTATTTTTCATTTTTCCTCTTGTTTGTCAGCCTCCTCCTTTGTCTCCATCCTTCCTTCTTTCTCCTTTCATCCAGTTTACCTCCATCGTTTTCCTTTCATTTCTATCTACCTCTAATTCTCTCTTCTTCTTGCCTTTCATTCTTCTTGCTCTCCCAAAATTTTTTTCTTCAAATTTCTCTTTTACTTTATACCTCACTCTCTCCCTCCCTCTCTCTTTCTCTGTAGAAATCAATGGTCGTTCTCTCAATAGGAGGTCACAGGGGTTGCAGGCGCTGGCGTCCCGGCTTTTCAATTACTAGCAGCCTGCAGTCACCACAAAACACACACACACACACACACACACACACACACACACACACACACACACACACACACACCTCTATCGTCCTGAACAGCCCTTCCCCCTCCTAAACCGACGGGCCAACAGACAGACAGACAGAACCAAAAGAAAAGATTTTAAAATTAAAGAGAACACTTTGGATGTTGGACAGAGAGAGAGAAAAAGAGGGTCAGAACGAAGGGCAGTGGAGAGAAAACAGGAGGAATAAGAAGAGGAGGAGAACGACAAGAAGAAAACAGACTGGGAGATGAAGGGCGAGGAGAAAGGGGAGGAAACCTGGTCAGGAGAAAAGGAGAGGTAGGAGCTCAGGCGGAGGAGGAAAGAAGACGAGAGAAACTGCAGAGGTCAGTTCTCTGTCTGTGGACTTTTTCAGCTATTCTGTTCTCAAGTACTGTCCCTAGTCAGAGTCTGCATTTAGCCAAGTCTGAACCCCATTTACTTAGAGTCCAACCTCATTTTGTCTGTCGCATCATTGCATTTTTTGTCATTGCACACAGAGCAATGCAGAATAACAGCCTGGCAGGTTTTACAAGGTTTCTTTTCAGTCTCAAAGTCTGAATTGCAAAGCAGTGAGTCTTTTTGTACCAGCCACTAGTTCCTCTACTGCTATCCCAATCAGAAATTTGGCCATTGCCCAGGAGAGACACTCCATGGTAGGATTTTATGACTGAACTATATGACGAGGACACACACTTTTTATTTCTCATTTTCAACTCACAGATAATGAGCAGAGATACTAAAACCTGAAACCTGACCTGTAGACTGTTTAGTGTGGTGTGGCTGTTCTGTCGGTGTAAAGTGTAACTGGGCAGAGGTCATAAGTAATATATTTCTCAGAAACATAGGTCAGTAACTCCCCCTTTGGATATAATATCTGTTGCTTCCAGATTGGTTTGTTGAGAATGCCCAAAGTTGCCCTGATCAAGAGGTAAAGGGAAGGTTTGTGAAGTTTCCCCTGGACATTTCGCTCCTTTCTCAGAAATGAATAAATGCATAATAAAATTAACAGAGCGATAGTGTAGTTTATGAGATAAAATAAAATGTTATTGTGTATACAGTACAGGGAGAACAGCAGTGGCGCCGCCAGAAAGTGCTGGCTGGATGGGGCAACTGAAAACCTTGGGGTGGCAGTAGCTCAGTGTGTAGGGATTTGGCTTGCAAACTGGAGGGTCACCGGCTCAAGTCCCACAGACCACAAAATATGGAGTGTGGACTGGTAGCTGAAAAAGTCAGCAAGTGGATCTTTGAGTTGAGAGGATTTTGCCACACAACAAATGTACAGGTGTGTGACAGGTGAGAGCTGGAAGGGAGGAGAAGAGAGGAGGAAGAACGCAAAAGAAAGGAAATGTGAGGGGAAGGAGGAGGTAAAAAGAGATGGTAGGAAACAAGGAAAGGGGGGATAAAAGGACCGCATGTCAAGGGAGCAAAGAAGAGGAAGAGAAGGGGAGGTCAGAGGAAATGAGACAGGAGAGGAAACAAGGATAGAACAGCAGAGGAGAGAAGGAGAGAGTGAGAGGGGAGAAAATGAGATGAGGATAGATGAGAATAGAAAGGAGAGAAGGTGAGAAAACAAGAGGAGAAGAGATGAGGAAAGAGAAGAGATGAAAGGAGAAAAGGAGGTCAGGGAAGTGGACAGGAGGAAGAGAAGGCGAGGAGAACAAAAAGAAGAAAATGAAAGGAGAGATTGTAGCTGGCTCAGATGCGGGGGGGTATGGAAGGGGGGAGAGAAGGGGAGGAGGCGCCCAGCCCGGCGCCCTCAGGGGTTATTGGGTCGTGGACAGCCAATCTCTCTCAGCTTAATCAACAGCAGCAGAGGTGATTGCAACACCGCAGGGGACTGCTGGGAAAAAAAAGATGGAGGGAGGAGGAGAGGTGGAGGGGGAGAGAACGAGATAGGAACGAATGGTAAGGTGTGAAGCTGGGGGGGGGGTGCTGGAAGATGAGGAAAAGATTGGAAAAGGAGGAAAAATGGGGGTGAGGATGGCGAGAGGATGGAAAGATGGGCGGGAGGAAGGGGAGGACAGAAGATTGGAAAAGATAAAGAGGGAGGAAAGGGAGAGGAGGCCGACAGGGAGAGGAAAAAAGAGATGGAGGAGGAGGAAGAGACGAAGAGGTTAAAGAAAGAGGCGGGAAAATTAAGGGATGAACGTGGGAGAAAACGGGTGAGGGAATAGAGGAGAAAGATTTGAGGAGGAGAGAAACCGAATCCACTGGGAAGATGTTTTTGACCTGCTGGAGGCGCTAGGGTTTGGGAAAAACTGTGGTCATGATTTAACCCCGCTTTCGCCCCGCCCTTCAGTCCTGGCGAGGGCTGGGTGTCGGTACTAAACACCTTTAAAGGATCGACTGAAATAACCCAGTGTTATGTAGTATCGAAACTTCTCCAGTCAAACAATACCTGTGTACCTAGATTTATGGAAAATGACTATTTGAATGGTTTTGCTCGCAGCCAATCACCGCAAGCGATCTTCAATTTAATGAGACGTATGATTGGCCAACTGCCGCAGCGACAAGTTAAGTTGGGCACGTGTATTTTATGGAATTGTCAGTTCCGCGTGATGAAATGCCACCAGAATGTTTGAAAGCATGATAGCATGATAATAAAATATGTGGAAGGACTATTTCGGGATAAACTGGGAATGCGAGTAACACAACCTGATCGAGCATGGAGAGAACTTCAGCGTGGAGAGCTGCACTGTGTAAAAAAAGGTAGCAAATTAAGTATTTTGTTGGTATCGGTATTGTAATTTTTACCCAGCTCTAGTCTTTGACAGACAAAGAGTTGTAATGCTAGTAGCGGGCCCTGTCAGGTAGCGTTAAATTAGCCCAGTATCCCCAGTAATTCTGTTCATATTCAACAAATCTGCAGCGTGGGGCAGTGGTTACCTCCATAGGCTCCAGCAGTGAGTCAATCTCCATAACGCCCCATATTAAAATGCCCAACACAGCAGAAATAACTATGTTTACAGCCTGGTACAAAAAACGGTTTTGGTTTGTAGAGCCAATTTTCCCTGTTCATGACAACTGTACGGGGGTGAATTTTTATACAACTCATCAGTTTGAATTATATTAAGGCCTAAAGTTATGTATAGTTAAGGGAATGGCAATCACAGGAGGCTGGTTCCAGTAACCAGGCTTCATTCAGCCATGCACACACTCCACGTATTTGCCATTTTTTGGATTAGGTGGGACCCGGCAGTCAGGACTGCCAAAATGGCGACAGCTAGAGCCGACCACACTGAGCTTCACAACGGCTCTTCAGAAACCTTTTTTAATTATACAGTCTGAGTAAGATGGGCTGAGGGTGTGGAGGTCAGCCTGGTGGGAATGTTGGAGTAGTTTAACTCTAGTTTAATTATGTTGGTGAATGAATATAGGTTTTTGTTGATTTATCCAATATATATATATAAACATAGGTCACAACCTCAGTGAGAAAGGGTGTTTACAACATCACGTCGGCCAGTGTATTATGTGTTATATCTGTGCTGTATTCTGATTGGTTTTAAGACATGGATGCTAGATAGAGTAAGAATCTGGTCCCAGTTTTATTTTAACGCAGGTGCCTGCGATCCAAAAGATGTATCTGACAGCAATCTGTGACCACCATTTTGGATTGAGGACCAAAGCTTTCACAACATTTCTCTCAATCATCCAAAACAGCTCATATTGTAAAGGATATGGAGGCCTTACATGAAGAAGCTACACAAACATTTCATCTCACACCAGTCCTTTTTATTGTTTTTTATTTTGAAGGAAGACTCGTAATTATGTGTAACCACACTGTTAATACCATTTCTTCAAAATGGTTTTAAAAAAAGTTCTAACAGTGGAGACAGATGGTTTGTGTGGTCTAGAACTCATTAAAAGAACAAAAATAAATAATTTGAACAAACAACGTATGCTGGAGCTGCAACAAACGTTGTAGCGTCTTTGTTATATGTACAAATCCTGCACAATGCAACTTTCAACTAAACACACACAAACACACACACACACACACTCACACACAGCAAATTCTTACAAACGCAGAGTTGAAAACTGAAGCAGAGGATAATAAAAGAAAAACATGTCGGAGGAAAAACCCGCCCGTCACAGACATTAGCATGTGTTCCTGCTGTGACTGAAACATTGTGCCGTTTCTGCTCAAATTGGACTTTTTCCCAATGATAGTTGTATTAAAGAGATTTTACTTTTCTCTTACTGATAGAATCTGTCATTTGAAGGTATCATGGAACGGCGAGATTAGTTTAGATTAGCTCAATTGCAAACATCCAGTTATTGAGCTGAGCTATGCTAATGTTACCATTTAACGTCTCTTCAGTTATGCACACAGAGACATTAAGTGTCCTGGAGTTTGCCTATTCCTCAAAAACCAAATCATCCCTTTCAAAACTGTGGAAGAGCACATCATTGTGGTAAAGTGCATTGCTGTATGCAACACACAGTGGAAGCAGAAGAATGGACCAACTAAAACTGTACAATTCATGCAAGTGTGGTTGGCGGTTACCAGTGACGCCATGTGGTAAGAGGGCCAATGAGGCTACATAGGAAGAAAATTTGAATTTCATTTACTTATCATTGGTAGTCAATGGCAACCGCATCCAAAAGCAGCAATTTCTAGCCTTAGGTATTGTGTACACTGTCTGCACTGAGTGAGTGACGAGATCCTCTCAAAGTGAAATGCTAAAGGCCTCAAATGTCTTCAAGCAACACTATCTTCAAGCTCAGACTATCAAAAAGTCATCGCCCAATGTCATTTAGCATGTTCTGCCACACAATGTTCAAAATGGCCGCACCTACGCAAGTTAGTGAGCTCGTGAATTAGCTAGCTATTGAGCTACCTAGAAGCCAGCTAACAGCTTACATATGGAAGATATTGTAGTCGTCAGAAATGTGCCATCGCTTTCTTTCCATCAGCAAAGTTGTGGTATGCATCCTGCCCCGGTTTACAGAAGTCATCAACGACAGTGAATTGATTAGCACACCGAGCAGGTGAAAAGTAAGGGCTTCTTAGCTCGCTGGCTAGCTCACTATTAGCCAGCTACACTTGTACACGTCTGACAGAAAAACCTCAATGAAGGTCTGTTTTTCTGGATTTCCCCATGAGGAGAGAGCTGTGGATGGCCCTGATCCCAGCAGGCACATGGAAATGTTTCAGGGAGGGTTTTTCCTGTCAGCGTTTTGGTAAAGCGTGTGTAAAACGGACATAAAGCACAAGTCCAGTATTTCTAGTTAGCCAGTGTAAAAGGCACATTATCATGGCATAACAGGACAGACACAGCAGAGGAGGAACAGGTTCAGAGGTCAAAGGTCAAGTTAGCCCCAATTAAAAGTGTCAGGTGTTATTGACATTTACACATTATTAGGGAGTCTCATACCAAGCAAATGGGACAACAGAGGGAATCAAACCTGTGACTTTCAAGACATGTTCTGCAGCTGTAGCACCCGACGGTGAAAGAAAATAAAGCATTCTTTAATTCAACCTACGGAGTCATTAACGTACGTTTTTCCCATTGAGTTACTGCACTGTGATCAGGGAGGAGTGAGCGGATGAAAACGGTAATGAACTGCACTGAAGTTCAGGCAGACAGAAGTCAATCGATATTAAAACTAAACTCTAATCCAACATGTGACGGATGTCATTTCGGACACATCTCTGCTACTTCTCTACACAGTATACTATAAAAGAATTCCAGCATCATTGTATTTTTATGTGCAGTCCCACCAGAGCAACTTTATTTTCTGCTATTACACACCTACAAGGATGTGACATAGAAATGAAATGTAAAAAGGTATCGCCTATACAGTGCGCTCACAGTAATGGAACAGAAAGCCTCCTCTAATTGCTAAATACGTTAATCAAATCAAACATCTATTCTGACATTGATAACTCAAAGTATTGAATCAGTATTGGTAATGAAAAGTAGTATCTGCACAGAATTACTTCAGGGGCTCAAAATGACTTTAAGTGACTAAATAAATAATTAGAGAGGATTCAAAGAGGAAACTACAGACGCCACCGGGGGGCAGATTGCAGGGAAAATAAAACATTCATGAGGAAACTCTGTCATGCTGTTTTTAAATCCGTACACACACAGTTTAACAATGTGTATCCTAAAAATACATCCTCCGTGTCACTGAGGATGGATGCAGCCTCTCTTTTCTCTGACATTCTTGTTGAAACAGGATCAAACCTCCGAGTTTTCCAACATCAGTTGACAGACATCTGACACACCCTGCCGACTTCCATGGTTCGCAAGTCGACGAAGCATTACTTATCAACCATTAGCGATTTATCCCAACATTTAGGAGGACCCATCGTAATCTTTAGTTTGTATTCCACTCGGAAAGCACAGATGTACTTTCCTTCCATGTTATATCAAAATGTCAAGTCACTGGTTAGCTAGTGGGGATGAGTGAGTACTCTATTAATTGCATCTGTTCAACGAACCAAATGATCTATATTCGTATCTGCTCTGGGAGGGGGCGGGGCTTAAACCAGTTGTGGGTGGTACCTACAGCTGAAGTGGGCGTGGTTAGTCTGAAGCTGATCATTTAAGCCTAAAATTTTAATTGCTATATTTATTAGAAAACGGTTTACAATACGACCTCAGAGTTGAGCTTCAGAGTAATGTTTTTGATCACAAGAGTAGGAGAGCTATTTAGAGAACAACTGTTTACTGCACTATAAAAACAATAACTCACACTTGGTTTTAACTCAGCTACTACTTTACTTTCTCCTCTTCCTTCCCTGTCTATTAGCAACAGCGTATTTATAATACAGCAGAAAAAAGCAATAAACAGAGTATAAAAATAAACATGTTAATGAATTTCTATAGTAATAACATATTTTGTGTAAACCATCTCACAATACCCCAAAAATTATTTCATGACACCCTGAGAGGTTCCGACCCAAGATGCTTTTTTTTTTTTTTTAAGCTGGCCTACAGCTGCACTCTAGTTCATAGTAGAAATCACTAATGTCTTTCTTAGCTCTTGTAACTCTGTACAGCACCAACATAGAATAGATGCAGGATTTAATAACTTAAATCTGTCATGATAGAGCAAAAGGTAAATCTCTTGAATCCTTAAAGTAGCCGTGCAATTCCTTCTAAATCGCTCTTTTCTCCTCTCACAGGGCACGGTCGCACATGCACAAATTTGCATCTTTTCTTCGCGAGGAGTTCAGATTCAGGCGAACTTTGACCGGCTAAGTCACAGCCTCAACCAATAGCAAAGATGTGTGTGTGGTTGAGCACATGTGTTTGCGCATGTGTGACCGTGCAGCAGCATTTTAAGGCGCACCAACCTCCTCCAATCACATTGTAAGGATTGCAGCAGGTGTGCAAAGCGACAGGTGAGAAGGTGGTGGGGGGAAAAACAGCCAGCCAACCAGATCCCTTGTGTGTGGTGTTGTTGTCACGAATGACTGTTATTCATTTAGCACCAGCAAGAAGAGAAACGGGGTCTCTGATGGGGTTTTGCACGGGCTAAGTGAATGGAATGTATGCAAGGGAGCTGTAATCATAAAAAACACCGAAATAACAACACAAAACAAAAAAAATAGTGCAAGGCTTTTCTTTCCTGGAGCTTTGATGTGATGCAAGCAGTGTCAGTTATCGGCACAGACTTTCACCAAATGGAATCTGCAAACCCTTACAAGGGTGTTTGTTTTAATCTGTGTGGGGTGGTGGTTGGGAGATATTTACTGAATCAAGAATAGTCATGTAATCTGTTAAGGGCATGTTACTGCCAACAGGTTCATTTTAAGTTTTGATCAGTATTTTGTGTTACTGATGCTATTTACACATTTTAAAATCATATAGTAATTATTTTGATCCATTTAAAAGTCTGTTATTCTTCATGCCTACAAATCCCATAAGAGGACCAAAACAAATGAATTGTACCGTCTGCCTATTCCTCAGACTATTAAAGTATGATTTACAAAATGCATTTTTATTTTCCCATAAAGTTAAATGTAACCCCCCATGTAGGAACAATAAAACAAACTTTGAAATATATTTACAGAAACCATTTGGAAAGTTCTTCATGTTATGCTTTCTATGTAGCTGACACTCTTGCTGGAGAGACGGTGTGTTTGTGTGTGTAGGAGCCTTCTGGTTATTGGAGAAGGCCTTCAGTTCGTTCACAGGTAGCACTGCTGCAGGAAGGGCCCCAGAGTGTGTCTGCGTTTCTATGTGAGTGTCTGACTGGCGAAGAAGGCCTTGGTCTCTCCACAGGTGGGGTTGGTGCACAATGGGCAGCGGAGGGTCAGCTGGCGGGAGCAGGGCTGGTTGGACTTCAGGTGGGACTGGACCAGGTCTGCCAGAGCCTGGACAGGACATGACAAATACGTTCATTATTGAGACAGTAGTTGTGTTTCTGTCTGTCAGACAAAGAGTTAGGTCATTCTCACCTGAACACTCTTTTCATTTCTAATGACCACACAAACTCTGGGTTTATTCACTAATTATTTCTAGTCACTGACCTTCTACCAATGTAATGTGTGTAAGAACGCAACACACATTCCTGCCTATGGTGTCCCTCTATTCTAGTGATCTACAGGAGGCGATAATGCGCTAGATAATAATACAAGATACACAACAATGTGCCAGCAAAGGCGGGAAAGAAGAAGATGGTTTGCTGGTAAACTGGTAAAAAATGAGTGTAAACTATGTAGGTTTCAACCTTTTAAAGGCATTATGGGTGTTTTATGAGGAAGGAGTTGCATTCACCAGGTTCATTCAACGTTGTGTTTAGATGAGTAACATTGAATGTAACTTTTGTTTGAATACGGAACCTCAACAAGGCACCTTTAAAAGCCTTCCAGTGTCTCAATGGGCATAATTGCTCAGTTCCCTGGTACGCTTTTAATTTGACGTACAGTATTTACAGGAAGTGTTGAAGCAGAAGGGCACTCAGAGAGCACACCTCCGCTAAGGTGTTTTGTTTCTACAGTGGTGTTTGAGGCGTTTATGTTTTGTTGTTTGTTTAGAAACAGGACACCATAAATTATAATTATGTCAGGTTTGTAGTTGTGTGACAAATTCAGTTCAGGTTGTCGTAGACACCCGTGGTGACCACTGGCCTATCACACAATGTCAACCAATGGGAAAATTTGCATGATTCAGTTATGCTCTAAAATGTAATGGTTTCTTCCTTGGCCCATGCTACACCTTTCCACCAAATTCAAAGTCAGGCCAGAAGTTTTCCATAATCCTGTTGACAGAAAAACAAAAAAAACATCTGGCACCGAAAGCATAACCTCCTTGGCAGAGGTAATAAAAACAGTACATTTATTATTCCAGTAGTTTTTTAGTAGACAATTTGGGAAAAATGTTTATTTATTATTTACCAAGAGTGGAGATTGATATATATTGATACCACTCTTGACATGACTGTGACACTATAGACAGGAGACAGTTAGCTTAGCTTAGCATTAAGACTGGAAACAAGGGAAACAGCTACCCTGACTCAATCGATTTCCTGGAGCCTTATCCTCACTGTGAAGTTTAAGGGTCATTTTTACATTTAGGATTTTGTGTGGGTTAAACAAACATGTTAGAATGTGTTAATTACCTCTAAATCCAGTCTTTATGCTAAGCTAAGATAACCACATCACATTTACCTCCAAACATTGTGGTTGTATTGATCTTCTCATCTGACTCTCGACAAGACAATGAATAAGTGTATTTGACACAATGTTAAACTATTCTTTAAAAATGTTGCTGTTGCTCTCCACAGTCGAGAAAAGGATAAATAAAGCAAACGAATAGTATAAGAGAATGAAAGCAGTAATTTAAGGGTAAGAATGTCAAAATGAGGAGTGACATAAGTAAACCGATTTATTTAAGGATTTATAAAAAACAAACAAAACAACAGCAACCAGGCTCTGCAGTGAAAATTCGGATGAAAGTAATTTTCTTTATTTTCCAGCAGCTGCTGTTTGCAGACGGCAGCAGACTGATGCAGCTCACTGAGAAACTAAAACTACACCAAGGAAACCATCCTTCAGTAACTACCAACTAATCATCCTCTGGATATTGATCTATACACTCAACACACACACACACACACACACACACACACACACACACACTCAGAGACTTGGCGAGGGGTCTCTGAGCACGGCGGGTTTGACCAGCCAGCCAGCCGGGCGGTTCAGTTCTACTGTAGTCAGCTCTAAAGGTTCCCATTGATCTGCCCCCTTCCTTTAATAAACCTTGCACACTTGCACACACTTGCACACACACACACACACACACACTTGCACACACACACACACACACACACACTTGCACACACACACACTTGCACACACTTGCACACACACAAAGAGCTGTTACAGCTGGAGGAGTTGCCTGTTGTGAGAAAGGTTGCAGGGTTGAGGATGAAGGGAAGGAGGGAGGTAGGATGGAAGGAAGTAAGGAGACTAAGTAGAGAAAGGAGGAAGCAAGTAGGAATCCATTTATTGACCATCTCCTGCCTCCTTCACTTCTTTCACAGAACATTCTGCTGCTGTCTCCTTTTCTATTATTAGAGCCCCAGCCTGTGTTCCTACAGTCTTCCCTCTTTTTATTTTCAATCCTATATGTATTCTCAATGTTTGCTTTTCTTTTTTGGTGCATCTTTTATCACATCCCCTTTATTATTAACTTATTTCTATATTTCACTATCTATAGCTCCTCTGTTATCAAAACTTAAACTTAGAATCTAAAATCTGTTAGATATCATTTAAATGATTTGATATTTCCCTGCTGTATGTCAGCCCTTTTTTAACATGAGTCAAGTGTGTGTGAGACGTACCTTCATGAAGAGAGGATTCCCATTCAATGACTCTGCTCTCCTGATGTTCTCCACTCCACACTGAAGACAGAAAGGAAGAAAGAAAAAGCTGTCACACGTTTACACTGAACCCAACATGCACAGACTACAGTTCATATGGACCAATTCAGAACAGGTTAGGTGTAAAAAGCACCCCAGAGACGGTTTATATCCATAGTGAAAAATAGCATTAAATGGAGTTCAACGTTCAAGATAATGGGGTGGGAAAGTGTTTTCATTTTGTCAGTCCAGAACTTTAAAAAATAAAAGCATTTTGTCCTCAGTTTCCAATTATTTTTTAACAGGTTTTTAGAGTGAAACGCCTCTTGACTGTGGACACCCTGAAATGGTCCAGACAGTGTGTGTGTGTGTGTGTGTGTGTGTGTGTGTGTGTGTGTGTCTGTCCGCACGCACACTGGTGGCATCTGGTACGTCTATCTTTGTGACGACCTGTTTGAATTTTAAAATCTTGAAGGTGAGGATACCTCCGAAAGAAAAGACATTTATGAAAATGTAGGACGTGTTTGAAAAGTGAGGACATGTAAGGAATGTAGGGACATTTTTTAATGTAGATGTTTACGGTTATGGTTGGGATTTGGGAATGAATTATGTCAGGGTTCTCACAAGTATAGGAGCCCCAACAGTTGTGTGTGTGTCTTTTTGGGCACCAGTCTCATTGATTGGTGGTCACCTCACTGGTGCCTTTACACAGACAGAGGACACAGGACACAAAGCTGCAGCTAACACGTCTCACACTCACACTCACACTCACACACACACACACACACACACACACACACACACACACACACACACACACACACACACACACACACACACACACACACACACTATTGCTAACCTAAACTCCACATCAAGTGTCAAGTTAAACCATCATTAATTGATCCCAATACATACAAGTACATATAATTATGGCAGACACTTTCTTCTTCTTATAGGATTTACATAATGATGAAACAGAAACCAATGCTTACTGGGAAGGAAAGAATTAAATCTAAAAGCTGACGGACGATTTGGAACATGACCAGAAAAATACAATTCATAACCCCCTTTATGGTCCTTTTACCCAACAAACATTTATGGCAATATTCAGCCTCTCCTCACTTAGAGACTGTCATGTGACGCTGTATACACACTACTAAACTGTGCAGACAGAAGCTGACAGCCTGGAGCTGCTGGGAAAGTGAACTTTTTTTTTTCTCTTCCTTACCTCCTCCCCTAGCACCTGTCCATACTCGATGTCTAGCTCGTGTAAAGTCTCTATGTGGTCAGAGGTGAAAGCGATGGGCACCAGCAGGATGTTTTTCTTCCCTCGTTCACACAGGCCTTTAATCACCTCGTCCGTCTGGGGGCCGAGCCACGACATAGGCCCCACCTGAATGACACAGGACATGACACATTGAGATGGGGAGTTATGGGTGCTGTGTTTGTGTCGACAGAACACGAAACTACAATCAACAACTACTTGGTACCTGGTCCACAGAAGATGGTTCCCTTTTGATCTCAGGACAAACTTATACATTTTAGCTCCACTACTCATTATAATAATAATACATTTTATTTGTAAAGCACTTTTCATAAAAGAATCTCAAAGTGGGCATAACAAGTCAGTGTCGGGCCCCAAGGCTAAGACACTGATTAGACTAGACTACTTGACCAAAATCAGTATTGAAGCACCAGAAGAGAATAAAAACGCACAATAACACATATGAAACCACATTGACATTACTGACAAAATGTTTCATGTATGCGCATAGGCATTATAAACACAAAACACTAGTGTGTAGATGGATTATTATACAATCATTATATCCATCAAGTGTGAGATGGAGACACCGTGGAATGAGGGGCTTAGCTCACCGACTACTACAGCATATTTTGATTGATTTATATGACTGTAAATTGATTGGCTGCATATGATGTCGATTCAGCTCACGTCAATCAAGATTATAGCAGCAGTGCAAATATGAATGGTCCGTTACGGGCCCCTGGACTGCTGCGGGCTCCTATGCAACTGCAATATAGGTAGGTAATAATAACTGCATATAGGTAGTTGTAGTAGATAGTTAGGCCGCTGCCACTACTGGTAAGGAGCTAAATCTTCATCACTATGCTTGCTCTGTCCAATACTTTCATATTGTGTGTAATCAACACTGCAGAGGGTGTGCAGGTTTGCAGTCTATCTGCTCCAGGTATTCTTACAATACAAAACTTAAAGGATCAGTGTGCAGGATTTAGTGGCATCTAGCGGTGAAGTTGCAGATTGCAACCATTTGAATACAGCTCAGCCTTCCAAGCGTGTTTGAGAAACTACCGGGGCCATGAAACCATGTTGGTTTGTCCATTCTGGGCTACTGTAGAAACATGGCTGTAGAAGAGGACCTGCTGCCTCTGTTGATAAAAAATGGCTCATTCTAAGGTAATGAAAACACAATGATTCCTATATTCAGGTTATTATACATATATACTAATGAAAACATACCTATGAATATTATATTCCATTTCTGCCAATAGATCCTCCTCAATGTTACTCACTGCACCTTTAATTTAACACGACTGTCCCATAAAATGAGTTCACTGTAACTGTCTCATTATTCAACAAACAAAATGGTATGCCTTGATAATTAATAGCTATAATCACATACAAATTATTCACGCAGCTATCTTAGCTGTGTTATGTCCAACATATCTGTAGCCTTTTAACAGTATGAGTATTTCCACACACATCTACTTTATTTTCTGCTCCACAGGAAGCCAGCAACACTTCTCTCCTCCTCTACTGTGAACAGCTGATTGGCTGCAAGAACAATTCATGTGATGTGTGAATTCTATAAAGTGTCAGCCACTGAGACCTGAGGGCTCGGAGCTTTCCTGCTCTACTACAGCTGCAGTATTAGACAGACGAGTGGCTCCATCTTGTGGTGACCAAAAAATCTGAGTCTAAGTTCATCCTAACAAATGGGAAACTGTACAGTTGCAGTCATTCATTGGTGTAGATACATAATTATACATGCTGTAGATCATTTGCAGTAGCATTAGCAGTAGATTTGCCACAGTAATAAACCTGCTAGTAGTAAATAGTATGTGCTCATCCAGAGTGAACAAACTCATGCTGTACCTTGCCCAAGTTTGGTATCAGGTACCAATAAAGTACTTAATGGTCCCTACTGGTTCTCAAAGAGGCTACAATCGATATAATCAACATTATATTTAAAATGACAATGCATCAAAAGACATGGTGAACATAACGGAGCGTCAGTGGCTACAGAGCCAGAGGATTCCCTCAGGAGTTGGTAGAGACCAAAATCAGAGCTAAAAGAGAGAGTATATATGATAATGTTGCTCTGAAACTGCTGGATGTGAATAGGCAACTGTTAGTTATTTGCAGGTTTAAGGTTATAGATGCAGGACAGATGCAGATGACAAACAGACTGTTACAGTGCTGCTGATTGTATCACTACTGTTCAGTTTCAGCAAACAACCACTAGATGATGCTACTGGTTTATTTCTAACACAAACAGACAGTTCTCAGTCTGTCTATTGTGTGTGTGTGTGTGTGTGTGTGTGTGTGTGTGTGTGTGTGTGTGTGTGTGTGTGTGTGTGTGTACTCACTCTGGACTGCCACACCAGTCTGTAGGGGTTACAGTGTCCCAGTCTCTCCATGACTCTCTGAACTGTGGCTCCCACTTCCTGAGGATAAGGGTCCCCTCTGTTTACAACCTGCACACAGTACACAGCAGTAGCACTGTCAGTAGCACTACTAGTAGTACTGATAGTATCTTTACCAGTAGTAGTTTAACAAGCAGCAGGAACAGAAGTAGCAGCAGTAGTAGCAATAGCACTGATACCATCATCAGCATAAGTAGCTGTCCATTTGCAGTAGTGGTATACATTTTTGTGTGTACAGTAAACAAAAGAATCCGATATGAAGTTTAATAAAGCATCAGACTGATGAGCAGTATGAGTAAGCATAGTAGTATCAATAAAGTCTTAATGATACACATCCCTGTTGCTAACATTTGCAGACACTGGTGTAACCTGGTAGTATTAGTAGGATGTGTATCAGTGGGACTAGCAGCATCAGCAGCATCAGCAGTGTTATGGTTAGTATCAGCACTAGTGCTTACAGCCATAGGGAGCGAGTGTGCTGAGAACAGAATGACAACGTCGTCCCTCTTCCCTTCCGGAAACTTCAGCAGCTCGTTACTGATGTGTTCTGCAAAACACTAAACAAACACACACGCACATACAGAGTGATCATTTGTTGTATTTCATGTATTTTTCGACAATCTCGAAATTATAATTTTCCTCAATCATTAGAAAGAAATGTTTCTGACTGACCTCTATTGAGATCTAAAAATGCTGCGCACTTGATAGTTGCTATGATTCGCAAATGTGGCAAGCAATATAATATAATATAATATAATATTTATAATTTTTTGTTCTTGCTGAGAGAAGGAGGAGCCTTATGGGCACTTGGTTTAAGTGAGTGTGTATGTGTGGGTGTGTGTGTCTAACCTCCACCAGCAGAGGGTGTGTGGGCCAGCGGTCAATGACACTCCAGTTCATTTTTGGCCTGTCCCCTCTGTTGCTGTAGTAACGGTAGATGGCATTCAGACTGCTGCCTGTTTACACACACAAACAAACACATTAATATTACACTTGTGTTCCAATACACAGCAACCACGGGCCTCTGTGGACCACCAAGCAGCTCCACTGGAGGGTTGGTGGCGAAGTGGCTTAGCTCGAAGGCAGGACTGTTTGAGCTGTTTCAGAGAGAAAATTCATTCCCAAAGACAAGATTAGCTGCAGAAAGCTGCTGAGTCAGCGTTTCCTTCCAAAGATCAAAAAACAGACCAAACAGAGAAGTAAAGCTGATGTATTTAATCTGTCTTTTGGACTAAGGTTTCAATATAATGTCCAATCCATCTACACTGACAGTAATTATTCTGGTCAGCACCAACACTGACAGCAACACCCAAGTAATCACCCCTGATAAAATGTAAACTCCAACATTAAGCCCCATATGTGCCTGTGATTACTGTGGTGTGTGCAGGGTGGCTAATGTTCACATTTTCCCACAAGTTCAGGTTCCTGTCTGTATTATTTAGCTACCTGTGTATTTAGACCTTGGAAGCTACAATAGGGAAATAGATTTCCCATGTGTACTTGCATCAAAAGTCACCAATGTGCTCAGTTTGATGTCCAAACATCTACCCTCCAGAGAGCCCCAGTTTGTGTCTCTCTTGTCCTGGCGTTACATTCTGGTTGCTGCAAGGTTTGAAAGACCCAGAAGGTCAATAAACTTAAGGCTGTTCTGAAGGTATTCCCAAAATCCTCACAGACTCTGTTATCCATGCTGTTTCCTAATCCAAACAAAGATGGCAGCCAGTGGCTATCCGGATAGGAAACAAGAGTCACAACTTGGGAAATGTTTTTTATGTCCTGTGGCAGCTACATTCTTATTATTTTTTTTCTTCTAATGAATGTCTTTATTTTGCGTTTTTTATTGTGTTCAATGATAGTAACTACTGTAGAGCAACAGGAAAGGGAAGAGAGAGAGGGGATGACACGCAGAAAGATAAGGCCACAGGTCAGAGCTGAACCCGTGGCCACTGCAGCAAGAACTCAGCCTTGGTACAGTGGTAAAGTGCTGGCAGGGTTCTAGGGAGCGCTGGGGTGATACACTTAGGCAGTAGAGAAAAAAAAACACTGCCTTTACAGAGAGCTCACTAAACAGCTAATAACAAGCTTACACAGCTTTTTAAGAGTAAAGTTAAAGCAGTTTCTGTTTGACACATCATAAAGCTCAGGATAGACCTCCATTTTCTTGGTTACCAGGGTGACGAGGCCCACCGTCTCTAATAATAGAATAGAATAGAATATACTTTATTGTCCCCTAGGGGAAATTTGTCATGGACTCAAAGTGCGTAGTGCATAGTAGTAGCTGCCCTTACAGACAATACAATTAAAATACATATAACAACTAAAGACATACACGTAGGCTACATACACACTCATGACACATCCATCTGCGTAAAAAATACAGCCTTTGCTGTAAACGGGAACATACATAATCTACATGATCACTCCAGCTGAAGAGGTTATCCAGGTGGAAACCCAGATACCTATAAGATGTGACCTGTTTGATCTCCTCCCTGTGTATGGACAGTGGAGTATGATCGCCCACCGACCGAGGGTCAAACACCATCTCCTCAGTTCTTTTAATGTTAATGATGAGATAGTTCTCGTCACACCACTGAACAAATGTATTAACCTCCGTGAAGTACAATGACGGGTCTGAGTTCTGGTGAAGCAGGCTGAGAATGGCAGTGTCGTCGGAAAATTAAAAAAACAGGTTGCCCGGGAGACTATTGGTGCAGTCATTTGTGTAAAGGGTGAACAGGACCGGTGAGCTTACACAGCCCTCAGGTGCACCTGTACTGATGCATTTGGATTCCCAAAGTGAGTCGTTAATCCTGACATTTTGGGTTCTATCTGTTTAAAAAGAATAAAAGCACTTCATAATAAAAGGATTAACATTCATCTGGGTCAATGAATAATAATATAATAATAAATGATTGGTGAATTAAGAGTTCGGAGCAACAAACAAAAAAAGTAGTAGTAATAGTAGTAGAGGACAAGCACTTTTTCACTAGCCGGCAGCATGCCACCACATACATAAAGCCGCCGATAAAGCTGATGACCAGTGTTTTTCAAACTGCACACAGACAAATAAAGAGTGCTTCCACTATGTCAGAAGAATGATTACATTTTTATGAAATATAATATGATTATTACAGGTCGACAGTGCAACTACGGTACACTGCAAAGGCTAAATATTTAGAGGGTCCTCACTTAGAAACTGTATTTATCAGAAGGCAACAGGGTGGACAGCGCTGTGGGTGTGGTAACACTAACGGCTACAAACATCTTTTTTTATCTTTTGACTTTTTTCCCCCAGTTAATTCAATGTATGTGTTCTTTGGACACTTCTACTTCTGAACAGAACTTAGTGCTTGAAAGGAGCATTATTGCTACTGTAAATGTTATCTTATGTACTCCTTTATTTCATTTGCTGTATGTGTGCTGTGTGTGTGCTGTATGTGTGCTGTATGTTGTATGTGTGCTGTGTGAGACTGACCTGTGGTGGAGCAGCTGTACTGAGGATACTGTGTGAAGGCGACGGCCCTCTCCACTCCGTCTTTCTCCATCTCCTCGATGGCGTCCTCCGTCAGCGGGTTAACGTAACGGAAACCGATGTAGAACTTATGAGGAGCTGCAGAGAGAGACAGAGTCATGTGAAATAAAGTCATTAACAGTACCACTTTGAGTTAACTGTTGAGCTGATGTGAATTAGCTATTAGCTTTTAGATGTATGTAACTAGCTAGCTAACGACTGGTGTAGATTAGCTTGTTAGTTAGCTAGTGTTTTGCTCTGTATCAAAACACTAGCTAAGTAGCTAGCTAATGACTGATGTGGATCAGCTAGCTTGTTAGCTAACAGATTTTACAGCAAAGGTTTCACATACAATGAATGTGTCCTGGTAAATTAGTGTAGAACAATTAAACCTAGAAAAATATGAATAAAGATAAAGTAAGACAATAAAAAGACAATATATACAGATATAAAAAGACAGACAGTATGGACAATGTGACTAAATAAATGAATGAAGAGCTGTACGGGAATATTATATTTGCAATGTGCAAGATACCTTTAGCACGCTAGCTTAAGGTGTGACTATACATATGTTGCTTTTATTGTTTAACCATCTTTAAAATGTGGCTGTCTTTTCAATATCCAAGTGCGATAAAAGTACAGGAAGTTTGCTTTGCTTGCTCAACTGTTAACTGAAATATTTGTTAAATGTCTGTATAATCTAATTAATATGGAAGATAAAGGAAGTGGTATGGAGAGCATTGTTTAACAAACTGCCGCCTCTGAATCTGGTTTTTATACCAGTCGATAGGATCAGCTTTAAGACTGTTGCCTGTTATCAGTGAGGTGTGTGCAGGGGTGTGAAGAGACACTCCTTCACTGTGTCACTATCTACACTTCACACACACACTTGCTGCGAACAAGTGAGTGTACCAGTAGGAAACACAGCAGCACTGTTGACAGCACTGTTAACATGATGCTATGTCTTCCCAAATGTCTACAAAAGGACTTTCTGAAGCCTACAAGACACTCAAACTCTCCATTTAAACGGAATGCTTTCAGGAGGAGTGAGAGCTCTAACAGGCAGAGTGACCCTCCTGGAGCAGATGCTCTCTGGGACTGTCTCACCTGTCTCAGGACTCATCTCATCCAGCAGCTTCACCATGCCCTCCCCCTGCATGGAGGTCCAGTGTTTGATTGGTGAGCCCCCTCCGATCTTACTGTACTGCTCCTGGATCTTTGGCGTGCGACGCTTGGCGATGAATGGGCCGAGCTTACTGCAGAGCGAAGGACAGGACATCGAAGAGTTACACACTATACACTTTTTGTGATAGTGAAAACGAAACACTGGGATGCGTTATTTCCAAAAAGTTTCGGCAAAATTTTATCTGAGATGTGAAAGAAAAATCACTCTTTGGTTGACCTGCTCATAAGTCACAGCCACACTATAGGCCAAACCTGTAATGTTGGGTCACAAGACAATATTGCTTCATTTTAAGGGGGTCACAAAAAAAAAAAAGTTTGCTTTACAGGTTCCAGTGTTCTTTATAAACACATGTGAAAATGAAGACCGCGTCTCAGCAGCAATGAGAAACTACTTTACTGGTTCACCATCAGTTATTATGTAACAGACAGAGCACAGTGACCCAACAACCTTCCCCATTTGTTCACTCGTGTGTGTCAACTTCACAAACACATATGTAAAATGTATCACTACTAACGTGTTCCTTCAAAAAATATGCTTGCCAAAACTGTTTGCACTGCTCATAGTGTGTGTGTGTGTGTGTGTGTGTGTGTGTGTGTGTGTGTGTGTGTGTGTGTGTGTGTGTGTGTGTGTGTACCCTATGATTTGTAGAAGCTATCAGCTGTTGTTTCCAGACTGCATTTGCAATGTTATTTTTAGCTGTAAAAACAGCTAGTGCACACCCCAGGCCAGGGCTTGTATCCCAGAACAAACACACACTAAACGAATGTTTTCCCGTGTTTATTGATGAGTTGCTGATATATATATATATAGATATATATATAGATATATATATATAGATATATATATAGCTGGGATATCTTTTGCGATGAAACAGGCAAAGATGTTGATGTCAGTTCCTCAGTGTGTTGGTCCAGAGAAAGATATGAACTGTGCTGCAAACAATCAAGTTATTGATACAGTTCTTAAAAAGTTGCTTTTACTCTGAAAAGACAATGTGTTTTTGTGTGTGTGTGTGTGTGTGTGTCCATGGCACATACTTCTGCACAGGGAGTTTCATCAGGTCTGTGTCCATGAAGAGCCGCAGCAGGAAGTCATGAACGTCTTCTAGTTTCTCAGGTCCTCCCATGTTCAGCATCAATATGCCTGTCTTAGGTTTCCTGCGGGCACAAGAGATTCATAATCAATATCTATCTAACATCCCCATGACTCCCAGCGCAAATCTATTGAGTTTATTGATCATTACCGATGGTTAATTAAGAGGTCTTCTTACCATGAAATCTCACAGTATATTGATTTTCATGTCTGCTAATGTCTTAGGCTTTGTGCACAGATTAATTGAAGATTATTGATTGCTGATGCCTTGGTCATTATGCAAACACAAAATATTGATATTTCTACCAAGATATAATTTATTGATAATAAATATTGGTTTCTATGTTTCAATGACATCATATGAATGTTTTTAGCTTAACTTAAAACATTTAAATGTGGTTGTACTCAAAGCAGCTATAGTTAGCTTCACCTGTTGGCCTGTGAAATTACCTCGAGCAGCTAGTGTTAGCTTGTTCTATCAGGCTGTGATGCCAACGTTAATTCAAGAACCTGATGTTGACTCATTCTAACAGCTTGTAACATTAACATTTAGAGGTGGGTATTGTCAAGGACTTCACGATACGATTATATCACGATACATACGATGTATATTGCGATATATTGCGATAGTCCAAATAGTTAACTGAAAGTGTAAAAACAGAACTATACTATATTGATAATTCAGCAGACAAATTGAGTCAAAACAATGTAATTCAAAATGTCTAGGTGTTCTGTTTGTTTTGTTTTTTCTGTTTGCTTTAATCTTTCATTGGATGGGTCATGAGTGTGTATGTAGCCTACGTGTACGTCTTTAGCTGTTATATGTATTTTATGTGTATTTATTGTCTGTAAAATGCCTTTTTCAATTTATTTATATTTGGCAAATTACCAAACACGCAGATCTAGCTGCCATTACATCAAAATGAAAATGATGTGCACTCTTGCACTTTAACTGGACGCACTGATATTGAAAACAAGAAAACAAAGTGCACAGTGAACTCACTGAGGATGGTGTGGGGCTAGTAGAGGACTGAGCTGAAATGTACACATGAAAATATGCACAAGTACTCCTTATTGTCACTCAACACAAGCGTAGTTTGCCTCGCGTCGACAGGTTTTGGTTGCTGTGGTAACGCTATTATATCTGCATGGCGTCTGACAAGGTGAGTTTCGCAAGTTGGTTGTGTTACCTGAATATTTCACGGCAGCGTGACAGAGCTTGCAAATTGCATTTGCTTTATCCAAGTCCATTCTCCCTGGTTTGTTCTTGAAACCGGAGTGCACCCACACATTGGCTTTGTATTTTGAAGGCGCTGCTCTAATACCGTCAGTAGACATGCTGCTTCCATTTCTCACTCTGCCAGAAACTGCGCCCACCAATTCGAGGCAACCAGAGTCGTACTGCGACACCTACAGGAGCGGAGGTTGTAGTTTCCCCCTTCAAAATATCGGGAGCTGGAAATCGATGTAGTATATCACGTAAATAAATATCGCGATATATTGCCGTATCAAGCACTGCCCTATTAACATTAGCTCCAGTAGCTAATGTTCCCTTTTTTTTTTTTTTTTTTTTTTTTAAATTGGACTTTTATTTTTTAGGAGGAAAGCAGGCAGAGCAATGGAAACATTGCCAGCTGTGGGAAACATTTGTCAGAAAAAAAGTATACAGAGAGATTACATGCAACTAGAAGACCTAACATATTTCTTTTTTTAAATCATATTAGCTTGTGAAATTAATGCTATCTCTAGCAGCTACTGTCAGTTTGTCATGTCAGCTTGTGAGATAACAGCTAGTTTCAGGGCCTGTCCTTAATGAATACGTTTTTCTCGAATGCGGATAAATACTTTACTGTATCGGCCTCGCGTCCAGACGGATACGGCGTTTTCGGGGTGTGAAAACTGTATTTCTTGGAAACGGGTCCCAGAGTGGGAAAATCCGAAAACGGCGGATTGCCCGGAGTCGTCTGGACGGCGAAAACAGATTTTTTCCGAAACTATGACGTATTAGCCCCGCCTCTCTAGCCTTTAACCTCAGCCGCCGCCGCTAGACGCGTCATAACAACAACAACAATGGCGGACTACTACTACTTGTTTGTAAACAGCGCATGCTCCATGGCTTCTCTTCCGGTTTTAGTGTATTGGTGTGGCGGCGTCACAGCGCCACATACAGGCCTGGCATATGTACTACAGCGTTTTGGGTCGTCAGTGAATCCGTGTGGACACAGATATTTCTGGAAACGACGCCGTGTTTACGGAGATTTTTTTAGAAACGACATCGTATTGGGTGAGGCCGCGTATTCGTGAGGACAGGCCCCAAGAAGCTCATGTTAGCTTGTAGAGCAGCTTGTGAAACTGACATAAGATAAGATAAGATGTTCCTTTATTGACCCCCCCGTGGGAGAAATGTACTCAAACAGTATATGTTAGCTCATTGTTCATGTGTCACCATGTGAAATTAACACCTCAGGCAGCTATTTATGAGGTCGTCGTGTAATGTTGCGCAATAACTTTAGCTCAAGAGGCTAATGTTAGCTTGCCCTGGCAGCTTGTGACGCCAACTTTAGCACCACCAGCTAATATTAGTTTGTCAGTAAATTCCGGTGGGTGCTGCAGTGCTTTCAACTTTACATCGCCAATGTTTTCATCAATTCACAACTCTGGTTCTGGTTCTTTGTACGCTTTCTGAGCCTTGATGCCCTTGAAGAATCTGCTGTGTCATTCACAATTATTATTTGGCTGCCATCTTCAAAGGACAGATGAGAGCCAAAAAGCCAAGAGGACGAAGATGAGAAAGATTGTGCGTGAAAAGACATCAACAGAAAGCAGAAGTGGCCTACAGACGGCTGGCAAGCATCCACTGTTTACCTTCTGATGAAAACCAAAAGGTTAAATCAGGACAAACTGGCATCTGTTCACCAACTGCTCCGCCGTGTGAGCTTTTATACAAACTCAAAGTTTAGACCTGTCAATTCATTGTTTGAAAGCTTAATCATCAATGACAATTTGGACAACTGACTGACTGAAAAATATCCGCTAGTTGCAGCTTCTCAAATTTGAGGATGTAATCCATATCATTGTTAACAGACCTTTATCACAGCAGCCATTCTGACTTGAAATAGTAGGGTAAACACAGTCAGGGTGCTGCTATTGGGCATATTGGAAACGCTCTGCTACACTAAATGGAACGGAACTTTAATTAGTTTCATTGGTAACACCTGTGTTTACCCTACTATTTCATACTAAAATGGCTGCTGTGAAAAAAATATTTTGAATCACTGAGGTTTTTGACAGTTGGTCAAAATAGACAGTCATAGACAGTTTGAAAACTTCAGATTGGGGTCTTGAAACTGTGGACGGACATTTGTCATCATTTTTACACGGTATAAACTTATTGATTAATCATTAATTGAAAGGTGAACAATGGTTTAATTGAATGGTTCCAAGCCAGAGGGGAACTGATGGTTAATGACATGATAACCAGGAAACAGCCGACTGACGACCGGTGTGAACATTGTGAGACTGTATAAGTAGAACTTAGAAGTCTGCATTCTAAAAAACATTTTTATGAACTTGTTCCTCTTGCTTAACTTTTTCATCTCTTTTGGTTTTTTCTTCCACTTCCATTTCCTCATTCTATCAGAGTTCCTCTCATTCACAAATTCTTACATTATCATAACTGGCCAATCAGCTTCCTGCTCACATTCCATTAACCAGTTGGTACTGACAGTTAAACTGACAGTTGAAGGAAATTTACATACGCACACACATTATTATTTAACCAAATAATCACTAACTCGCTGCAGGGACATCGTATAATGGAAGTAACAAAGTGGGGGAAAAAAATCTACAAAAGGGAAGAGAGAATATCAAACAAACTATGTAAATAATTACAACCTCAAACTATTTACCTATAAGCTATGGGAACACTCTCATCCAGAGAGAAAGAGTGAGAGAGTAGGTCAAACGTGCCCCACAAGCCACACCCACTGACTGCCTGCACACAGCCCAAGAGGAGAGGTAGAGACCCCAACGCTGTTGGCAGAAGAGCCATGGACTGTGATTACTCTGATTAGCATGCATGAAAATTAATCACATTATAATTTATTTGAATATATTTCTGACCTTTCCCCTGATGTGTAAAGTAAATGTGTTGCTAGTAGCTTTTTAGAAATATTTTCTTTTTTAAACATTTCTCTACTGTCCCAGAACTTTCCCAGATGCTGTATCTTTGCAGAAAACTGGATGTGCTTGTAGTCAGGGCACGTTGGAAATAAAGGCTTAATTGAGCAGTATCCAATAAGGGTGCACTGGAAACCAGAGGTGGTGCGGGGAGAGAGTTTTGGGGGAATTTTCTCAACATGGTAAAAAATGTGCAGGTTAATTTGAAGGAACCAGCTTTAGCAGAAACAAACTAGTGGCAGATGAAAAATTGCCTCTTGGCTAACTCTGGTGCAATTACAGCAACGTGTAACAACTGTTAAATAAACCAACAACAACACACAGTAAGTGTTTTATGAGGAAGGAAATACATTCAACACATTTCTTAGACTTTACTTAACACAGTCATGCTACAGAGTGTATGCATGTACATCTACATCCACCGCCACTGTGTGTGTGTGTGTGTGTGTGTGTGTGTGTGTGTCTCTCTCACCTGTTCTCCTGTGTTTCTGGAGACGCAGTCTGGGCTAAAGCAGCAGCAGTGGAGCGTCTCCTTACACTCAGACCGACGCTGCTCCTGGCAACTAAAGCAGAAGAAGAAAACAGGTCATGCACTATTTTTTAACCTTTTTTAACCAGGTGAGGAAATGTTCATACATTTCCTCCAAAACTTTCATCCTCTGAATCTTTCAGGGTAGAACCAAACAGGTTCTTAGTTTTTGTGTGAACAACAAATTACATCATTTCTGTTATTAATACCACAAATGTGACGGGGCCCCAAGTTAACCTAAAATTCAATAGTTTTCCCCCCTAAGAGGCTCCTGGAGGTTTCTCACCACCATCATTAGTTGAGAAGAGACTTTGTCTCCTTTGTGCAGTGCATTGTGGGACAATCCTCTACATCATTTATCATTTATTTGTCACTTTTCTAGAAGGAACACCCTGCAAGTGAATAACTTTATACCAAAATCCAGACTCATACATTTGGTTTCTTTGGAAACGTTTGCATCTCCACAAGAAATTAAAGTCCCCCTGAGTCAGAAATCAGTTTCCTCTTGTCCCTACAGTGTGCTGTGTGAATGCTGTCTGTACAGAGTGTGACAGTAGAAGGACGTTTTCACATTCATCTGCTGAAAGTGGAAAGTTTCTACAAGCAAGATTTGTGACATCACAAGGTCCAGTATTAATATATAATGATGGCCAATAAACATTAACTTGCAAAGAAGTGTAGTTAAATAATATGTCCCTGGCTCTACAGTGACCTCTTACAGGAGGTCACACTAAGTGACCTTAAACACCCTTTAACAATTAGCACCACTGCCATGGAAAACAGTGAGACAAAGACACATTCTACAAGCTGTAGAGGACACACAGAAAACTAATACCTTATAATTGAACTGTTGGATTGACTCTATCAGTGTATACAGTCAGCTCTACTTTCATAACCCGGGCTGCAGTACCCTGACGCGCCACCAGGGGGCCTGCTGTGATTATGCAAGTTGACAACGCTGGAATTGTGTAACTAACTCCGAGAGAATGTTTGGTTCTCTCTCTCAGTGGAAACATGGCCCGTTTACAGCTACGTGTCGTCTGTAAGGATCCCCTGGCTGTTGCTAAATGAAGCGCAAGCACAGGATAAATCCATTATGTAACGTTAACATTAAACTGTAACCTACAGTAATGTTGGGCTGCGACAAAACAGCGGCTGTTAGTGACAGGCTAGTTACGGAAACACCGCCATTGGTCTGTAAAATAAAAGCAAACCAACGGCCACCTTTCAGCAAATATTACGATTTACAGGTCACAAAATGCCACACATGGACAAAGAACACACTGCCAGAGCTGCATAAAGCGATGCTGGTGCTATAAAAGGCGATAATACACGGAATTGGGTGTTAAAAGTTACAGCGAGGGTTGTAATGTGAAAGTCCTGACAGGAAGTTGTACTCTAACATCTCCGCTAGCTTAACCCCCGTTTACGAAACGATGATGCCAATGTCAGCGGCGTGCTGTTGAGTTACCACCGAACAACGCCACCCCGTCACCCGAAACTGCCTTTAAACTGCTCCAAAGAAACACAGCAGCACAGTTTGCTCTGTGGCGTTTAATCCCGAGCCAAATTATGAAACTTGAAGGTGTCCCTTCACGGCTTTCACCGGGCTAACTTAGCTCCACTGTCACACTCACATTGGATCAAGCGACCGGCTCTGCCCAGGACTGCCATCATGGTTTCCTGTTTTCACCGCCGATAAAAGTCTCTGTTCCCGCTGAGATGAAGGCTGGCTCCAAGAGTAACACTCCTCACTGACTCACTGGCCAGCCCGATGTGTCCACCAGATTTGTTCAGCTACCGCCGGCTGGCTGTCTGTCCACACTCCTGTCAAGTTTGGTAACGATAACAGACACTTCCGGTTTGCAAATTCAAAATAAAATCCTCGATGATGCAATATTTTACATAGGGTTTTCCTGAGGATTCATGACTCATTTTATTCATATTTTGTGTATTTTATATGTAATTATTGACTTTTCCATTTTCACTTGTCATTGTTAGATTGTATGTCACTGTTGTAATTGATATTTTATATCTTCTCCGTTTCAATAAAGAAACAGAAAAGATAAAGATTTCACGGGTGAAAATTTAAACATAACTTATCAAAAAGAGTGTACATGTGGAACAAATTTAAATATGTAATATCTTTTTTAAAATATACAGTTTATGAGTAATACAGAGACAGACATTTTCATTTAAATTGTGAATTAATGGGGATCCATGTATAAGGTATTTAGAAATGTGTGTGCAAAACATTTATTGAGCAAAAATAACAATTAGTACTAAAAGGACATTTTTATTAAATTCTAATCTTGATGTTTGACTTAAAGTGTTTTCAAAGACTAATGCAGTTTAGTAACTATAGGTCTGTTAAAGGGTATTCACAGTCACAATTGTATTTATATATTAATAACCATATATAGTTATTTTATGGTAAAATACTGAATGAGGATATGAACGATATCAGGCTTTTATTGTGGAGAAAATAAACCTTTCCGGTCTATAGATTGCGTACTCTGGTTCTCTTGACGCAGAGCGGTATTAGTATCAGTATTAGTGTAGCGTCACATCTACGTTGCTCTGAATTAGAAGATAACTCCGCCCCCGCTCGTGCCGGTTACACCCACACCAGAGACAGTGTGTGTGTGTGTGTGTGTGTGTGTGTGTGTGTGTGTGTGTGTGTGTGTGTGTGTGTGTGTGTGTGTGTTCAGATATAGTTTATCAGTCCTAACAGTCACAGTGTAACCCTGTTTCTGGTTCTGGAAGAAGAAATGAAGGAAGACAATTAGAATGGACTATATAAGATTGAAAGAAATGTCAGTGTTGTTTTATGTTTTGTAAAACTTAATAAAGAATGTTTCATATATTTTCACATTTTTCTTCCTGGTAGGCTTAAATTATGTGGCCAAAAGTATATGGACACCCTGTCCACAGCCACTGTAGCTACTGTCTGGGTCACTTTGCATATAAACATACTTTTGGCCATGCAGGGTACCTTACTCCTTCAGATCTGGACAAATCTTAAAGTAACTAACTGCAACTAATGCGAATGCATTAATGAAGAGTGCACAATCAGTTAGAATACATTCATGAATAGTTAATAGATACATTATTATAAGAATAATCATGGTTTCAGATTAATTGTAGTTCACACAATCTACTTTTTACAAATCTACTCCTTTATGAAAACGAGATTTGAGAGCACTACTGAAGGAACAGTAACCTGTTCAACTGAATGAAATGAATGTGATGTTGAGGAGCAGGGCACACCTTTAAGAAAATAAAACATCCTTGGTCTTCCTGGAGAACATTTCTTTGAGCAGGTTGTTTTTTGGAACTGCTCGGATTCCTTTAAATCTGACCCGTTTTTCTAGAACTGAGGTCTAAAGCCGCATTTCCTTCTTCCTTTTAAAATCAGTTTGCAACAATAAAGCAGGAAGCCCACGAGGAACCAGGAAACAAACAAAGCAAGAAAACAACAGCTGCTGAAGAAGGAAGTCCTCACATACACAAGCTCTTCTCTGTCTGTCTGTCTGTCTGTCTGTCTGTCTGTACCACAGAGACAACGTTCCTCCAGTGTGTCAGTGTCTCTGAAGAAGAGTCTTCCCATTCATGTGCGGCTAGTCAGTCAGTTTTCTCGGAGCAGCATCTAGTGGCCATTAGAGGAACTGCAGCTCAACTCATTTTAAACACTACTGCTCACTGGTCACACTGCTAAGCCACAAGCTAACAGGAAGCTGTGGGACCTTGTTTGTTCTTTAGGCAAATCCGCTAATAATGCTAATATGATGGGAGTAAAACTTTTATTTAAAGATTATAAGGAAATTTGTTTTTATTCCTGAGTACCTGGAATTCCTTTGTCTTTGAGTGAATAGACAGTACCGGTATACATTTATGGCAAAAAAAACCAACCTTTTCTCCTAGTTACGACTCACGTATGTGAATGTGAAAATATCCTGTAACGAAAATATAACCTGTAAGAAAATATGAAACATAACAAGATAAATGTTATAAGAAAATGTTATTATAACATGTTTGTCATAATAACATGAAAATATGTACCATAAAATATCTTATATATGTGCGGTGTATCTTATAATATAAAAATATCTTATTTCACATGATACTGATACCGTACTATAACACACACTTAACCTATTTTAGTTCAATCTACTGGTTTTCCATTATATTTCATATATTTTATATCTTTTACATAAGGGAAAACCAAAAGATCCAAACAAGGATGAAACCCAACCCACCAGACACCTGAAGAAAAACCCTCGTACAACCATCCTTCAGAATGCCATTTTATTTAAGTGCAGGTTACTTGTAGTACTTTAATAGTATTAGTATTAGAAGTAAAATGTTCCCAAATACATGAACAGTGCACATCCACAGACTGATCTACTGACATCACAGGAACACAAACGTTCTGTATCCGTCACTGACTGTTGCTAATTTGATACGTTTTCCACAGAAACATTGCATTAAAAAAACAAAATCAAAAGAAAATAAATTAGAGACCTTATTTCATAGTTGTGAGAACAGATTAAGTTGTTCGAAAGATAAGATTACGAGATAAGGTGTCTCTATTTATTTGTCTTTGATGAATGTGCTTCCATAGTTTTCTCAGGTGTTCATCCAGGTTTGTTTTGAGGGAATCTTGTTTTTATTCCTGAATCTGACATGCAGAGTTGCATGCAGACAGATTTTACAGGATTGGATTTCCTGACTGGCTGGTGGACTGTGCCGTTTATTCTTTTTACAGTTTTCCATAACATTCTGCACATATTAACTTAAAATGTGTGATTATGCAGCTTTGTAATTTTACTCCTGCAACTACATTTGTAAGTTTTTTACTATGTTGTTGTTTAGCAGCATTCAAGATCACATTTGAGACATTGTTAGATTTTTTTCTAGAACTTGTAGACACAATCACAATAAACTACAGTGTCGATTAATTAATTCATATTGGTTAAATAATCAACCAACATGAAGAGAGGCAGACGTGATCAGATTCAGGTTTTAAGTCAGAACAAACAAGGAGGAAGCAGTGAAGTTTGAGGCGGAGCACAGCAGGTGGGGTTTCTAACTCTGTCTGTGGTGAGACATCATGCAGCTCACTACAGATTTAACTCTTCATGATCCAGGATAATACAGAACATAAAACAATATTGTGGTGGCACCTTTTATAGCTAACAGAGCGCTGCCACATGCCAGGTCAGAGTGTGTGTGTGTGTGTGTGTGTGTGTGTGTGTGTGTGTGTGTGTGTGTGTGTGTGTGTGTTCAGGGTCGGCAGCGCTGGATGAATCGTGGGTACAGGCAGACGTCTCGGATGTGATGTCTGTTCAGCATCCAGGTGAGGAAACGCTCCAGACCGAGACCGTAACCGCCGTGAGGACATGTACCATACTTTCTCTGAAACACACACACACGCACACAGAGCAGACTGTTAATACCCACCGTTACTGAAACACACAGTAAGGCAAGGGGCCCACTTATACTAACGGGCAAGGTCTAGACAGATGTGGAGAATCCACAGGTGAGCAGGGCTATGGTGCAACAAAGCCAAACAAACAGAAAAGAAGCTCTCAGTTGTCTGTTACCTGGTCAGTGTACCAGTAGTAGGGGGTCGGGTCGATTCCCTCCCTCTTGTATCCCTCCAGCAGCTCTTCAGAGTCCCAGATACGCATCGAGCCTCCGACAATCTCGCCCACATTTGGCATCAACACGTCAACCTGCAGCACAAACAAACACACAGCTCATCAGTTAGACAATAAGGCTTCCACACAGCTTTAAAAGGTGGCACCCAAAGGTCAGCCTTTAGGTGGTGTATCACTTTAAGGCCCCAGTTCCCACATCAGCTCGGAGGGTTACTGTTCCATTTAGGTTAGAGCGCTATACACCGTAATACAACAGAAATGTGTCGAGATGTTGCTGTACAGTTTGTACTTAAATCATCTCTCTGTGTTGTAAATCAATGAGCTGGCTGCATTAGACAGAATTTGTGAACAGCCAAACAAAACAAACCTGGTTTTAGCAACAGATACAAAAGAGTGCAAGGGCTGGCAGTGTGAATGTATCATGTAATTTATCAAAAAGAAAAACTATATATTTGTTGGTTGCTTTATGGATGGCCATGTTGGTCGGTCGGTTGTTCCACCAGTTTGAGTCCAGACTGAAATATCTCAACAACTGTTGGATGGATGGAATTTGGTGCACTGGCTTTGGCAGTCTCACTGACTTTTCCTCTAACCCCATGGAGTCGATTTGTCCAATAATGTATGACCAAATACTTGCAGAACTAATAATATTCCCATCAGCCTTTTGTTTAGTTTTAATTTACCAATGTTATCATGCTAACATGTTAAAATATGATGGTGGAGATGGTAAACACTGCAAACAGCGTTGTCACAGCTGTACCCAGGTACCTCACAGAGCCGCTAGCACGGCTGGAGACTCTTAATCTTATATATGTGTTCAAAGCATGGATGTATTAAGGAAGAACTGGATTTAGCGTCTGATGCTGGTCTCCGTTTGTTCCTTTGGAAGTTGCTCAGCGGTGCGTGGAGCCAAAAAAGCCACTACCTGCAGCACAGACACTGCCCAGATAAATCCATACACCAGAGACGTCTGCCTGCCGAGCTGGCTACCTTTCAGTTTAGCCCTTTGCTAACTTGAACGGAGGTAAAATGATGGAGTCGTGTGGATATACTCGACTTTATAAATGTTATCAGACTGCCTGGATCAACTTCTGATAGTGAAACATCTCATTTCACAGAGGTTGTGGCACCATCCACCCCTTTTACAGCTGCTTCTTTAACTATGTGAGTTTATGGGGGAAAGTCTTTTGGGGCCGCTATGCATTAAGGGACATTGCCATGGCTGTCATTACACAGGCTGGCCACTATGTCAAATTGGCTTCAAAGCCTGATGCATTGCCTGGTTTGGTTCAGTGGGAAATAAACGGCTAAAAGTTATTGCGATTTGAAAAAGGCGACATGAAAAACTACTCGTACTGTAACAGAATTTTCCAGAAAATTTACTTGTTGACTTACAATGTGCTATAAAATGGCATTTAGGGGTTATAGAAGATATCATTCATACTGTCCATCCACTTCAAAAACGTCAAAAATACATTTAGATACCCCAAGTTCAGTTAGATTGATGTTGAGGTTCATACCGACTCAGTGAGGCGTTTGTCATCATCACAGCGCTGCATGTAGAAGGACTTGATCTCAGCAGGGAAACGACAGAGCAGGATGGTCTCGTTGATGGAGTCTGTCATCAACCTCTCTGGAGCCTCTGGGATGTCCTGACAGTAACAAATCAAAACAGAGTGGTTAATATCAGACTGAGGCCACAAAAACTAAAAACGGGACATAAAACATTTATTAAAGTATGTTTGAGTAATCATTTCTTAAAGTAATATTGGTATGAATGTGGTGACACAAATATCTTGAGCCCTGTGAGCTCACAGAAACAGGAGACAAGTGTTGGTCACGTGTTTCTGACATATATTAGAGCTCCAGTTGACTGCAAGGACAGCTGTTCCCCCTACAGGAGAAGTGTACAAACTGCAGGTGAGCTGAGACCCTTCTTAGACTGGATCTGCTGACCTGCTGCTCCACAGACGCTCAACGAAAAAACAAGTGAACTTCAGACTGAGAACAGCACAAGCTCACTTTACTTGTCATTGTCTGGCACTACCAGGTCTGGGAGAACAGTTTGACTTTGTCAAAGTCTGGGAAAATAACCCTAGTGATAATAAATACATTTTTACATAATAACTCATTTAAAAACCCATATTCTAATAACTAATAATAGGATTACTTGAAACGAATTGTGGGCTACCTTTATAAGTGTCAATTGGGAGAGCTCTGCTGACAATAACTGTGTTACATATTCTGAGGGGTGTGTGTGTTTCGTACCTCTCCAAACTCGTAGTAGGTGCCGTCGTCCTTCTTGACGTCGTGCTCTCTGAGCCACTCGATGGCTTCAGTGTAGTTCATCCTCTTAAACGGCCTCTTGGGGGGTTTGAAGTTCTGGAAAAAGTGATTAAACAAAATATCAACATTGTTAGGAAATCACTATGGAATATCAAATATCAAGTCCATCTGCTAAACATCACAAAGAGGGCTGTAAAGTGAGACCGTTTTATCAACTGCTGTTAACAAGAAAGAACTTTGAAGTTCTCCATGGTTACTGATCGTATCAGTCTATCATCAGAATGCATAATGAATGAACGTTCTATCAATCCTCAGTTTGTTTCAGCAGTAAGACACACAGACACACACACACACACACACACAGACACACACACACACACAGACACACACACACACACACGCTGACGTACGGGGTTGATGTCATAGAGCAGCGGAGCGGCGGGGGACTTGAGCACTCGGTCCACCACGTCACACACCAGATCCTCCAGTCTGTTCAGTAGATCCTCAAAAGACATGAAGGGACACTCGGCCTCGATGTGAGTGTACCTGAACACAGAAGACAACTCAACAATGTTACAGAAATAAATACTCAGAATGCAGGAGGCTTAAAGGCTCAGATTCAGAAGACAGAAAACAGTTTCATCAGCGTACGGAGATGAGATGTGGTGAAATCTACAGTTTGTGACTGTAGTGTAATTAATGTTATCTATTTATTTACCCATTTATGTTTAAGTTTGCGATTTGATTTCCTGTACTTTGCAGCTACAGTAAGCTACAGTAGCAGCACTAACAAATGTGTTATCAGCAGACAGTGCTCAACTTCATACACAGCTATGCACACGTAAACCCACTACTGCACTAGGTTGAAGCCTATAAGGCTTGGGATTGGATGTCACACAACATTCAAGGTGCTCAGGATTAACCCACGGTGGGACTCACAGTGGAAAGTTTAATGAGGATCAAAATCGAACACTGTGGAACCAGGAAGGCAACCTGTAGCGTCTGAAGACAAAAACAGCTCATTCTAAAAGGTAACAAACACAATTATTCTGATATTCAGGTTATTGGACACTAATGAAAAAATACCTATGAATATTATATTCTATTTCTGACAATAGATCCTCCTCAAGGTTACACACTGGACCTTTAAATCCTGTCAGGCACAGCTTAATATGTTCATTGGTCTCATCAGTTTACCCAGAACACTGTGACAACCAACCTTTTCTTTAAGTGTTAAAGTTGTCGTCGTTGTCTCAGAAGTTTTGACCAGACGGAGCACATTGTATGCTGTGGCAATTACCCCAGCTGTGTGGCTTCAGGGCAAATATTTGGGTGCGGCCAAAGTGTGCACTGGTGTCAGTGACTGAGACAGTTGCTGTCGTGAATTTTAGAAATCTACTTCAATAAGGGCTTTACAGTACAGGGGAAAGCTATTAGACCTGCAACAATTAGTTGATCAATCAATTAGTTGTCAACTGTTAAATTAATTAATACTATTTTAACAATCCATTAATTATTTATCCAATTCCCCCCCGCCCCGAGTACTCACTCAGACAGGTGTCTGCGGGTGCGGGACTGCTCGGCTCGGTACGACTGAGCAATACAGAAGGTGTCGCCTAGGGCGGGTATGCAGGTCTCCAGGTAGAGCTGGGAGGACTGCGTCAGGTACGCCTGCTCGCCAAAGTAGTTGAGGTTAAACAGCGTGGAGCCGCCCTCCACCTGAGTCTGCACCAGGGTCGGAGGAGTGATCTACACACAGAAAAACAAACAGTTAGAGAGCCTGTGATCCTGAGCTCCCAGGTCTATCTGAAACAGAACGTGCGTGTGTGCGTGTGTGCGTGTGTGTGTGTGTTCTGTCAAACTCAACAGTTATATGAATTCGCTAAGTTGGGTTCTAGGGTTGGTAAGAGTCTTTTGTCCCAACCAATCAAAGACTGTGGCATTGTCATGCTTATTCTCCCAACAAACTGTATGTACAGATTTTAGGTGAATTATTGAGTTTTACTTCTTATATATTCAAGTTAGAATCCTTTAAAATAAAACCTTTTGATATTATTTCTGGTTGCCATTTATTCCACAATAGCCATTCACTTACATTCTAAACTACCTCTCTTTTTTAATTCCCACACTAATCTTCAGAATGAAAATACAGAATTCTGAGTAAACCACACATTCCCGTTGTCAGTGTTCCTGTCTGTAATTTTAACTGGCTGACTCATTGGTGTGCCGCCTGTCACCTGCAGCTCATTTTCCTGTGCCTTGCTGTTGTGTGGAAAATGTCTCACACCGTGTGCAGCATGAAATCAGATCACAGCAGCAATTATTATTGACTGAATTCTAAAAGGTTCACATCCAGTGGCAAGTCAATCTGGTATATTTATCACCTTTAATTAACACAATATGAGTTTGTTTGGCTGCACTGAATTTAGAAATAACACTATACAGAGTCAATAAGGGATTTGAATGGATTTGAATTTGATAAGAAGATCTGGTGCTGCATTCATATTTGATAAAATGCTACTAAAGCCAAATCCTTCTGTTCACTTATTCACAGATATTAGATAAGACTATCAGCTAAAGACTACAACCCTAGGCTACGTGCAGACATTTGCAGATTAAATATGTTGCCAACTCAAAATTACAACCTCATATGAGTTCACTCTGATAAACCTGCAGTGCTGCAATAGTAAGATGTTAGGACACGTTTAGAATAGGCTGATTATCTTTTTAAGATGGAATTGGTTCGCTGCACAAAACACAAAGCTTAATAGAAAAGACTGCACACCCAGAGTGCTGTTTACACTCACTGAAAAGCTTTATACCCAAATGTTTTGTACATTAATTTTTAGTATACATGAAGAGCAATAAGGAAAAAAAAAAAGTTAGTGAATCCAGGTATTGTATCACCCTGGAACTGGCTCCAACAGGACACCAACAATCAGAACCCAACCCTACCACAGATTTATTCTCTTCCTTTTAAAAGTAATAAATTAGTAACAACAAATCGGAAAGTGCCTCAACAGCAAAAAGGGATGAATTTGACAGTGTGAATCACCTCGTAGTATCCGCGGTTGAAGAAGTGGTCCCTGAAGCACTGTGTGACGGTGGATCGGACCCTGAGGATCTTGGAGACGTTCTCTCCTCTGATCAGCATGTGCCGGTTGTTCAGCTGGACGTCCACGTCCGACTCCTCGTTCAGCAGGTTGTCGGCCCCGCCTGCCGGAGCTAGGCCAATCAGCTCCCAGAAATCGCAGTGCAGCTCGTGGCCACCGGGCGCCTGGGAGAGGAAGACAGGATTATTTTACCATGTGGCATTTGAGGAAGATGTTTAGTTCCATTGTTTCTTTTCCAAAACACTGAGATCAGATCTCCTCAGCTGAGGTTCAACTTAGGGCTACTACTAATGATTCATTTTCATTATTGGTTAATCTGGTGAAAATCAGACGGGACTCAGGCAAAAACTTCACAGACGAGGTTAATGTATTAAAGTTGTATTCATGTTACGTTTAGTGACGTTTACCAACTTCGTTCCTCACTCTCCAACCAACTCTGTGCTTACCCAGAAGCCATAGCAAGTTACTTAAAAATTACCGTAAAATTTCTCTGGGTTTGTTGTCAATTGTTCACTATGGGTATAGGTAAATGGCCATCAAAATGTCCCAGAGCTAAAGGTCTTCAAATGTCTTGTTTAGTCCGACAGTCTGAATCCCAAAGCCATTCAATTTACAGCGATATAAAGCAGAGAAAGGCAGCAATGTTTCCCAGCTAGTTTTCTCAGCGCAGGACAAAGACTTCCCAAACTTTCTGTGACAGCAGGGCATTGGGATCAAAAGAGAGGAACTCTTCTATTCAGTACTGACAGGGGCGCCGCCAGGAATTTTGGGGCCCCATGACAAAAAAATCTAATTGGGCCCCCTCTGCGCAGCTGTTGTCACCACATCTCTAGGACCTAACTGTCCCATCAAAAAAGGCTTGCAACTGTCTTGCTTCTTGTAGTTCAATACTAGTACTAGCACAATATTTACTGCTGGTGATTTGTACATGCATGCAAGTCTGCATACAGTATGCAGTTCACTATTTGACGCAAGATTAAAAGCAACCATAAAATGCATACTCACTGTTTCCAACTGTCCAGCATCTAGAACAGACAGTAGGTTGTTGGTTTTTTTATTTTATTTCATAATGATCATTATGTGAGAAAATAATTGTTATTAATGTGTTTGAATTTCTGTCATTAATAAATATTTAATTTTCTTTTTTGTAATGGTAAAAAGAGCATGAGAGAAATCCCCACAGACTCCCTGCAATGATGCTAACTGGCCTGTCATTGAACACAACGTTGCTCAGCTTCTTCACTGCGACAGGGAGGGGTACAGTTACGGGGAGACTGGGGTGCTGCTGACTCATCTGTTGTTAAGTCTGCTAAAAGGGGCAGGGACAATGATTTAATATGAATATCTTGCTAAACGTTTCCCTGAACTGATTAATGGTGATTAAATGTAGGCTAACACTAGTCTGTAGCTGGCTATCTTATTTCCCTATGGACATTAAGCCAACAGGTTAATACCACTCACAGACTATAGGCTCCTTTCTTGGTGAAAAACTGGGTTACAGATTGACATCCTTTCCTTTGTCTTTCCTCCCTTTCCTTTTTTGAAAACCAGATTTTGATTTACTAGTTAACATTGTGATCACTGTAGTTCTGGCGCATCTACTGACTGCAACTAAACACCGTCACTGATAAGTGTGCTAAAGCAGGACCAAACCATTTCATGCAGATACAGGGGGGTGGTCGGTCAATATGGATGTTTACTTTTTGGTCAATGGGGATATTTAACTTTTACTGCCACAAACAAGTAAAAACAATGAGATCATTAATTTTATAATTATATTTTAAATATATATACTGAATGATGATGGTTTAACAATTTTATATTAGTTTTTACCTATTTTTTGGGGCCCCTGTCAGTCATGGGCCCTTGGAATTGCCCTAACTTTCCCCCCTATACCGCGCCCCTGAGTACTGACATTAAGTAATCACCATGTCTGACTAAAACTGAAACTGATACTAAAGCCACTTTCACTTTGGACAAAAAAGCCACTAACAATGGCTTTTGTCTTCAGTGGGAAAGGGTACAATTGGCATTCATTCCCAGGTCAAATAGCTGAAAAACAACACCCGGATGGACTGCTAATTTGCAATCTTTTTCCGGCCCAAGTGATATGTTGTTTATTGTTTTGTTTTTTTTATCGTCAATGGGAACAGCGTACCATCTTGGGCAACAAGCAACACTGGCAAGAAGAGATTTCTGAGGGGAAGAGGAACGGAGAGTGGTCAGTTGACGTTTTGTAAAATGCAGGCACAGTCCTGCCATTAGAAAAACACTTTTTTGCAGTGTATCAGAACTCGCATCAATACAATAATTGGATCCCTAACAGGGTCAGGTATTTACAAACACGCTGCATACATATGTAGAATCAGGTTACACTACATGCAGTGTTTCCTCTATGTTGATTTTGGAGCGGCGGCCCGCCGCTGTTAAATGTTCGGACAGGCCTGCCCCCACTGCTAAAAAAAAACCCTAGAGGAAACACTGACAGATTTCCTGCGTAACCTGATTTGACTCAGTAAGCTGGTCTCCTGTGTCCATGTACATGTAGTGAAAGTTTTGACTGCAGCAGGAAGCACCTGTTTCCCCTCAGGAACTGGAGTGACGGTCCCATACAGAGCTACAGTACTCTCCGTAGACAACACCAAGCCATTGTAGCACTGGCACTGAAGACAAGAACAAGAAAATAAGTTAGTTTGCATCAGAGAACAGTCTGAAGCTTATATTATATACGTATTCTATTGAGTTCCTATGAATCTGCATATCTAAGTAAATTTATTTTTTGGTTGGATTTTATCATTTCAAACATTTTTCAATTCACACTTTTAGAAATGTGTCTTTGTTTGTATTATTATATAACACAAATTAAGTTATTAAGTTGTACCAGTTCATCAGACAGAACACACTGGAGGAAACCAGTTCCATCTCTCAGCACAATGAACATCAGGTTCTTCCCTGTAGGAGACAAAAGTATATACAGTGAAGAAAAACTGGTGTCAAACTATCTGTCAATCAAGTTGAAAGTAAGAGGCATTTTGAATTGAAGTGTTGCATTTTCTGCTCTGAAGCCAGAGGTAGAAACAAATATGCCACACAAATATCTACCGTCTCTCTGCACTTTGATTCATTTATTTAAACTGCTATCAACAACTACAAGTAAAACACTAGTTTCTATTTTCATGCATCAGGCTCCTCACCCTGTCTCCTGAGGCGATGAACCCATCCAAACACTTTGACTCTCTGACCTCTCTTGGCCTCCAGAAGACGGATTTTAACCTGAAAAACACAAGTCAACGCTCATCTTTAGGTCATTGTCACAATAAGTTGGGGCTGTATTTTCGGTTGGTGGTGCTGACAAACATACGTCTGTCGCATGGAGATTCAACAGTCAAGCACAGAAAGTTGGCAGTGAGTACCTGGTGAATTGGTAATCTTTACTAATTCCTTGCTCAGACAGTTGCTGATACAGAGCAACATTATGCCAATTTGGCTTGTGTTCAGGAAACATGAATAATCAAGCCCACCCTTGCTTTAAAGATGACTTGGCTTCTTACAGTTCAAGAGAATTGGTTTGGTTGTGGTTTAGAAAGAAATGCAGTTTGAATGGTCTCCATTCCTATTAAAACCATAAAAAGCTAGTTACATTACCAATATGTGAACACATGGTTCAATCACTGTAACCAAACTCCAGGATCAAAACAGACACAAATGGTTTCAACAGATACAACATGAGAATAAACAGCACGATGAGCAAAGGGAGGGAGGTCAAAAACAATCCAAATACAATAACACTTTATTTAGCAATTATAAAGGAGTGTATAAACACTCACAGGACTATAGGAATAGTCTGGAAAATGCACTTATTTCTGTCAGAGTGAGGTGAGACTGATTCCACTCTCATATCTGTCCATTAAACATAAGGCTACAGCCACATTAATAAATCAGCTTTAGGGGTGCCAACAGGTGGATCTTGTGATCCCCGGAGCCAGGCTACCTGTTTCTGTAAATCTACTATGTCCATAAACTGTTTATAATACATTTTAACTGATGTTTCAGGAACGTGTTAAACGATAATATAAGATAGTTGTAGTAATATAAGTAAGTTATGAACACATTCATTTCAAGCATTCACTAACTGTTTATAAACATGTTACAAATGCTCTCTACTGTATGTAGAGTTGTGATTAACAACAAATAAGTTATTAAACACTTCAAATGTCAACTACATTATGTATGTATCACAGTGTAATATAACCCTTCACTTAAATTATTATAAGAAATAAAAACGCTAGATAGTAGGTTAAAATTGTTTTAGCGGTTATTATTAATTAGATATTATTAATAGAACATTAGGACCGATTTAAGAGTAGAAACAAGATGAAATGTGAGAGACTGACGGTTTCAGGTTTAGGCAGGCTGGGGTCGTCCACAATGGTGATCTTCTTGGCTTCTTGCAGGTTCTTCTCTCTCCTCTCGTTGTCGTCTGCCTGCACAACAAACATGTAGCAAATATTTAAAGGCACTGCTTCTTGGTCATATAGATTAGAGCTCAACTAGAATAATGAACAGTAAAACAGAAAAAACAGGAACCATCTATGGGTTTTATGTTGCTCTAGCAGGAGCTGCTGAAGAGAGCGGTAGAACACACACCTCTTTCTTGTCTTTGGCATCGTTCTTCATCTGCTCGCGGTTAAAGGCCTTCTTTGCGTTCTTCATCTGCGTCTTGGAGATCACTGCCCAACGCTGAGGAAGAAAGACGTACATGCAGGGACTGAATCATTTCCTGTGCATGAAGCAGGTAGATATGATGAAGATTAAAGTGAAGAAATGAGAAAAAGATGCTTTTAAACCAACCTCTTCCTCCTTCTGTGACTCTACGTAGATGGTCGGGAACGGCTCCTTCCCAGCAAACATCAGAGCCTTCATTGTTCAGAAGCACAATGAGATGCTAGCATTAGTGCAACTGGATCAACCAGCGGGGAAAATATCAATATATCCTGCTACTATTTCTACTACTAATAATAAATCCTGTAGCATGAATTATAATGAAAGTGAACAGCAGAGATACGATTATAGTATAGTATGATTATACACTAATGAAAACATAATGAATATTACATTCCATTTCTGCCAATAGATCCTCCTGAATGTTACACACTGGACCTTTAAGACACACGACTGTTTACCTTGAGAGGAGTTTTGAAGGGTTTCTGCTCCGTGCCGTCCCCATCCTGGTCGCTGCCACATTTGTCCGACACGTACAGCTCACCTGTGAAACAGAGGCAGAGTGAGACTCGCTCACAGTCATAAAATACCCGTGGGAACCCTGAATGTTTTACCTGGGAATGAATACAGATTTACATATTCGGTAAGAGCTGTAGAGCTTGGCCAAGTGCCACTGACTAACACATTGTTGGCTTTGGTGTTTTATGTTATGTGTCGACAACAATATCCGGTTTTCACTGAATGATGGATGCAAAAAAAATCCACAGTAACGATATTACGATATCTATCTGGGGGGAAAATGCTATCAGTCAAATTTATCTTTAACTTTTATTGTGCATATTTACTTGCATCTGTGTATTATTAACATAACAACACCTAGTTTCCACGAGGACCCTCCTGATTCACAAAGTGGCAAGATGAGACAAAGAACTGATTCTCCCTCAGATAGAAAAGTCTATTTCCAGTCTTGTCCAGCCTTGCAGAAGGAGGAGTCAGGTTTTGAATTTTTGCCTCCTGGAGCAAAAGTGAAACTGGACAAACATTTTCTAAGTGCTTAGTCATCTGCAGAGTGATCTGAAACCTCCACATTAGAGTTCACTGCACACCAGCACTTTTGTCAAAGGCTGGAGGCACAGCTTCCACATTGTCAACAATGACACCCATCTATCAAGGCAATCACAGGCGAAAACATAAACTAAACTATATGGCCAAAAGTATGTGGACATGCCATCCAAACGTGGCCATTAGTGTGCGGTTAAAACAGGCTCCACTCTTCTGGTTTCAGACACTCCAGCACATTTTGGAACGCAGCTGCAGAGATTTGTTCCCATTCATACACAAGAGCATTTAATGAGGTCTAACACTGATGTTGTGTAATCGTGGCCGGCTCCCAGTCAGCGTTCCAGTTCAACCCAATGGGGTCGTGTCGGATGGGGCTGAGGTCAAGATCTGTCTAGGTCTTTCACGCCATCATTGTAATGCTGAATCACCAAGAGTCACTCCATGTTAACCTTACAGTAAGACATAGACATGACTATTTGTTATGCAGCAGGTGTCTACACTATAATGTTTCTTTGAAGAACAGAAGCTCATCACAGTTCCACCTTGTGCTTAGAACAGAACAGAACAAACACAGATATCTCCAGGTGGACCCACACTATACTGACCCTGTATTTGGTGTCACGCAGAGAGAGGAAACTGAAAGCACATCCAGTATTTCTAACGGGTCGCATATTGTTGACATTCGGTACAGGGATCGACCCTGCTCACTATGGTACATCGCCTGTTGACTATATGACGAATATAATATAATTGTATTCAATATACCGAGGTCGGGTTCACTCACCGGGGTAAGAGACTGACGCAGCCTCTTAGCGGCTGCATTGCAAACTGACAGCTGTCACGGCTAAATATTTCCCTCTCAGTGGCTCAGTTTGTATCCGTACGAACTGTCGTTGGTCCGGCAGCCGCACAGAAGTTCAGTGACTGTATGACCCTGCTCCGTATGAGAGCATATCGAAGCAGACACCTGAAAACGGCGTTAGCTATCATGCTAACTGCTAACACCACAGCAACTGATGCAATACGGAGGACACACATGTCTCCGGGAGCTCGCTCACGAGCTGGCTAGCTCTGGCTACGCTCATTTCTTTTCTTACCCACTGAGACTTGTTCCACACCTTTACTTATCTCCGTCGCCATGTCAGCCCAGGTGCCACGACAGTCCGCTGAGGAGGGGAAAGTAAATAGTTTATATTTTTTTAAAAATGGAAGAGGCGGCCGCCGGTGGGGTCTCCTCAGCTGCGAAGGTGCAACTTTACATCAGCCAGACGGCAGCTGCCTGTAGTCGGCGGAGAGGAGGAAGTGGGTCGGCTGCTGTTTCCGTTCGGCACATTTCCCCAGCAATGATTGGTGAACGCGGGAACGTCACTGCCGAAACAACTCATCCGATTGGTCAATTAATCAAACACTTATCACGTCACTCAGCACTTGAGACAAATCTGTTTTGTGCGCATAAATAAAAACAAAAGCAAATTACGACAGACGACGAACATAATAAGCACAGAGTGTGACACACACAAATATCAAACACATTATAGGGTGAAAAACGCTAATGTAGAATATGTAGGCTATTGAATAATATAAAATACTTTTTTTTGGTTCAGTGATGTTTTAATGAACTTGGAAAGTCTTAAAAATACAAATACACATCGATTGATTTTAAAAATATTTAATATGTATTTCTAATGTATTAAAGTCAATAGCAATTGTGATGGAGAGTGACCTCAATGATATAGGAATAGGTGCCACTTAAGGCCTATGCAGCAGAACAGAAAGAGCTGAAAATATTACAGCAGCAAAACAAAGATACACCAAACAGAAGAACTATACAGCCCACACAGGTTAGAGGCTCAGTAACTACAATAGTCTATGTGGGGATAACAATGAGGGAAAATATCTTGTAATCTTTTAACAGTATTCCAATTAAGATGTTGCAAATATGAAATATCTAAGGTGTTATGAACTAATTTTCTGAAGAAACATTACAAGTTAATTATTATAATCTAACCACACACATTTAAACCAAAAGAAAATGCAAATAATCAGTATTTTTGTATTTTAATAATAAAATCTTCTTTCTTCTAAAATGTCTTAGTGTACAGATATTTTAACATTAAAACATGAAAGGAGAAGAAAATGAGCAGTGATTACCACCATGGCTGAAAAGACAAAACGCACCAACAGAGTCTGTAAATAAGCTGTTGGCTGGTATTGTCTTGCATCTGTAGGTTTTAATCTTCTGTATTTAAACCCTTAGAGATTTCAGCAGATGTTCCATTCACATACAAACTGAGTCCAGCACAGAGCGGCTGAGTGAATGTGGTCTGGACTCTGTGGAGGAGAGTCATGGTCTCAGAGACGCTGTAGAAGGACAGAATACCTGCCCTGTGATCCAGGTATACTCCCACTCTAGAGGACTAAGGGCCAGAGATGGAAGTTCTGATGTTGTTATGTCTGAATTCATAACCATTGTTGAAACATTGTAATGCCCAAGACTTGTCATTGTTTCCAAATCCACTTTCATCTCCTTTTCTGCTAATATCCTTGTATGCAACTGCTACAAAAACTTCATCCCCGCTCCACTCCACCTACCAGTAGCAACGCCCAGTCAGACTTTCTCTACACAAAACCTGAGGCCAGGTAATAATTCTGTCTGGGTGAGGGTAATACCGGTCACTGTGGGAAAGATGCCAGTTCACATGTTGTGCCTTTATGTTATCCTCAACCACTATATCGAGGGCTTGGAGCCAGAGGGGCGTAAGTGGCTTTTGACAAACTTTACAGGAGAGACAAAACTAAATTTTGACCACACTTCAATCACCTGTATTATTAACCTTAAACCACAAACATTGCAACCACAGGCTTACATGAATGAGTATTTAAGTAATAAACCTATGGCATATTAACACAATGAACATGTTCTAAAACATTTTAAAATCCAAAAAATATGGCAAAAACGTCAGATACGCCTTTTTGGCACCAAACATTTCCAAGTCTTCTATGGACATATTGGGCGTATCTGCTGAACAATGCAGAAAATAATTGGTCAAAAGGGGAATTGATTGAATAATTAACACTTCAATAACACTTGAACAAGTAATTCATTTTCATTTAACTCATTCATTAATATTTTTTTTCTTTTTTTCTCATTTCACTTTTCCATTCTGGGCAGCTGCTGAACGGTACAGACTGTATAAAAGTCACTGAACTTGCTAAACACACTTCTGATTGGCAATTCATGAGTTATTCAATTTATTTCATTACATTCATTCATTTTTTTTTTCAAATACTGTATACAATTGACAGTTCTCTCGTGTTCTTTTTACTCATTTCACTTTTCTTTTTTATTCAACCATTTCAATTACTCTGTGAGTCTATTCATTGACCACATCCAAAGAATCAAGTCGCGTCTTATTTGCTTTTCTGTTCACTAGTCTGTTTAGTTCTACTCACTGTCCACTGTCAGAGCATTGTAGAACTCTGCGTATGTGTGAGGAATACTCCCATTGCTGCATTTTCTTAACTGGTGGGCATCAGTTATCCTTATGACTTTCCTTCTCACTGTCTTCTAAACGTCGGTACCATTCACAGTATTTGCACGCATCTTTCTTTGGAGTGTGGAAAGCTAGATTGAACTCAGTGTCGAACACCATTCTATAAAGACTTTGTTTTTCTGGTTTAATCTTCCACTCCTGTTCGCATTTCTCTTTATACAGCGCAAACATTCTTGGCACATTCAGAGATCCTTCCAAGTAGAGCTTGTTTGTATCTTTCCTGGAGTAGTGGGATTCAAGTTTTGGGAAAGACTTGATATGCTCTCGTATTTTGTCTTTGCTACTCTCAGGCACTTTGTTTTGAGGTGCATGCCGCCCTTTCTTGCTTGGAGGGGAAATTCCCAATTCACTAGACGGATGGCCGCCTGCAGACCTCGCAAATTCACATCAAGGGTCTTTAAAAAGAAGTCTTTGCATACCCTTATCTGTCTTCCCTCAAATGTTAGATAATACTCAAACAAATGAGTTCTTCTTGAGATTTTTCCACTGTTTCTTTTCCCTCTTTTAATAACATGATTGACAATGAAGTCTTTCTGCCTTGCTGCATCTCCCATCTCCCAATACTGTTGAAATATACTTTCCCTCACTGGCTCTGGGAAGTTCTGATTGCATTTTTAACGACAAGAGGCACAGTTCTTTTCCCTCACCTTCCTTCCTGGAACATGAATGCCATGTGAATTAATGTAGCTTTGGCCAGAATTTCTAAACCTTTTACGTTGGTTTCTTTTCCAATTTTCAACATCTCTCGGTCTTTTTCTTCCTCTTTGTGGTGTGTTGGCATCCTCTTCCTGGCCACTTTCAGCCCCTCCCTCCTGAACAAATTCTAGCACAATGTCTACTGTTTCAGTCCCTCGATCCTCTTCTGTCCCTCATCAATTGCATGATTTGTCTCCCTGTCTGTCTCTCTTCCTCCGTCTTCTGCTGTCTCCATGTGTCCCTGTCTCTCTTCCATCTCCTCATCTCTCTCCCTCATCTCATGCTGTGTCCCTAAATGATATCATTAATATTTATTAATATCCTACATGAACGCCCTGATACTAATAATTCAGGATTAAGGATTAGATAAGGTGAATGTTCAAACTTATTTTCTATGCAAGTCAGAAGTCACTTCCTCCATCATGTGCTGTCTCCATGTGTCCCTCAAGTTGATCTCTCTTCCTCACCTCATGTGGCTGTGTGCCTTAATGATTAACACATTAATATTTATTAATATAATATCCTACATGAGTGCCCTGAATCTATTAGTTCAAGGATAGGGTAAAGTAGATTATGAGAAAGTTCAAAAGAATATTCTATGTCAGAACACTAGGCTAGTTAGCAGGCACAGTTAGCCAGATCAGACCAAAACAATGGGATTAACGTTAGCCATGCTAGGCTAGGCTAGGCTAACAAGGTAAGGCTCTCAAGACCATGATTATGTCTTACTGTCATCACTCTTGTGAGGAAATGCATTCAAAAACAACTCTGACTCATCTTCAACTTCTTCAATATAGGATTCATCAGTTTGTTTCATAATATTCATCAAAATCTTTTCTGCCTCAGACAGTTCCATGTCTGCAGTTGTGTCAGCCATTTTGAATGATGTTTTAGGGCACCCACTACACTTACGCCCTTCTGGCTCTGAGCAAAAATGTGGGTCCTACATGTATTTTTCAGAGCCAGAAGGGCATTTTTGGATTCAGTGTGATTTGAAATAAATACTGTAAGAATTAACATGTCTTGGTTTCTGCTTGTGGCAGTAAAACATCCATTTCAGTCTCTTTTTTGGTCCATTCCTCACCAAGAATGGCCTGTAGTTTATCTCTGACCTCTGACACAGCTGCAGTTGCATCTTCAGTGCACAACAGAGAACACACATTGATGCTGGGTAAGTCTGTAGCTTTGCTAAGACGTGACAACGAGGTGTAACTGTAGAGAAACTGGGTGTGGTCCTCTGTGTGTGAAAGTTGCTCCAGCTCATCGTCTCTTCTCCTCAGCTCAGCAATCTCCTGCTCTACCTTCTCCTGGAGCTCGTTGACGTGAGTCACTTCAGATTTCTGACGAGATCTGATCTGCTGCTTTATGAATACAGATACCTCATTGTGACGAGTGCAGATGTTCTCCTGAAGCTTCTCGGAGGGGTCAACCAGCTTGTGTTTTTCAAAGGCAGCGGATTCATAGTGAGGCTGGAGGTGTTGCTCACAGTAAGAGACCAGACACTGCAGACAGGACTTGAGAGCTTTCATCTTTCTCCCAGAGCAGAAATCACAGGACACATCTCCTGGTCCGGCATAGCAGTGATCAGCTGGAGCAGCTTGAGGTTCTGTCTTCTTCAGCTCCTCCACTAAATCTGCTAACATGGTGTTTTTCACCAGGGCAGGCCTCTGTCTGAAAGTCTGTCTGCACTGAGGACAGCTGTAGACTTTCTTCTGATCTTCTTCATCCCAGTAGCTTTTAATACAGTTTTACAGTAGCTGTGTCCACAGGGAATAGTCACTGGATCCTTTAGTGGGTCCAGGCAGATCGAACAGCAGAGTTTTTCCTTGTCCAGTTCAACCCCTTGATGCGCCCTTTCACCTCCCACTATTGGTGAAAGTCTAATAGATTCACTTCCTGGTAAACACTGCCTTCAAAACCAGAAACTGGTCATACACAGTACGCTTGCTGATCTGCAGTGAATAGATCTTATCAGCTCTTATCAACATAGCATGTTGGTTACCCCCATCCCTACGCTGGCAGATCTGTGGAGGGGGCAGGAAGAAATAAATGTTGATGAAAGGAATTGGCTTTGAGAGGAAGGAACAAGAGGGAGTGGTAATGAGGGTTTGATTCATTACAGGAAGAGGAGCAGTTTCAGCGAGGCAGCATGGGTTTACAAGATCCAAAGTACAAGACACATGATGCAATCACCATGATACATGCCCACACAGACCTGAGCAGAGGTCTAATGGTTGGTTTTAAATAGCAGTGTATACTGAATCAGAAGTTGTGTAGATTAAGAAGTATGTCAATGCAGCCGTTTCTTGAATTTATTTTGAAATTAGTAAAAACAGGAAGTAGTGCTTGTTAGCTCCGTAAGCTTCTCACAGAGACCGAGGAGCACCTGTAGCAGTGGTGTCTGCTAGTTCGTCTCCCTCTTTTTTGTTTATCACTCCATGCTTCGTGAACTGTGTGAATGAGGTTTATGAGAGGTTTTTGATGAAGAATGTATTTTTGACCGTGAAGACTGCTACTGGGGAATGACTGCCGTTGGTTGATGAGCAGGCTAAAGTGTTCTACGGTGTTGGCTGTAATAAACATCTGTGAAAGGAACCGGAGTCTTGCATCCAATCAATGGGCGGCTTAAAGTATACTGGAATAATGTGCAGTAATTAATATGAGTTGTATCCACTTTTGTATGTTTGAGTCGGTCTCAGGCTATTGTTTTTGCAGCAGTATCACCTTCTGTTCAAACTAAGAAATGAACAGCTGTTAAATATCTTCTACTTGAGTTTTAAACCAAATATCAGTCATCCCTCCATGTGCACTGGTGTGTGTGCGCTTTGATGTTAATGAATTAATTGAAGAAAAAATGTAATCAATTTGTACCATCACACTTGTAAAGATAAAGAAACAGAAATATGCTGAGTTCAAATTTACATGACACATTTTTAACTGTTGAGGGTGGCAGCTAAAAACAGTTTCACTAAACTCTTTTTTCACATATGCTTTAAACACTGACTGCACTTTGTTGTGTTCTAGGGGGGAAATGACCTCAGTTATAGCCTACTGTTACATTAGTTTAAAGTTTTCTATAGCAGCTTTGACATGATTGATTTTGTTCACACACATCCAGTCAGTAAATACTTTACCAAGCATTTCAATCAATATATCATCACACAACAGTCTGTTTAGCTATTATTTCAGCACTGTAGAGAACAATAATCAAGACTCCCCTGTTGATGATCAAATACTGGATTTACTAAAATTTTTTGAACACATTCGCAAAGTGACAGGAACAAAATGAACACATGAACATCAATTGAACATCAGCTGTCATTAAAAATAAGCATTATATTACAGCTCTATTGAGGCCCTATGGTTAAACAGAAACAGCAGAAAATATTACAGCAGCCATAAGAATAGACAACTACACTAAACTAAACTACTAAAAAACGTTAGAACAAGCATTTTGTTTCAAATATATCTAGTAATTGACATAAAAATCCTGGTTATGTCCCCACAAATAATCTATAATATAACAAAGTTCACTTTGAAATGATGCTCAGTATTAATATTTACATCTTGCTAAACATATGAAAAGTTCTGGTAACCTGCTCGTAACAAAAAATACTGTTGTGTCAAAGATTAAAAGAAGAAATCTTAAATCTTAAAATGATAAGTGTGTATTTCTTTTACTCTCATCTCTCTTACATTATCCTTGTTGTAACAATTGCTGTCTACTTGAGCTCACACAACTCAGCTGTGGATCCAAAATCCAGCTTAAGTCCAGCACAGAGCGGCTGAGTGAATGTGGTCTGGACTCTGTGGAGGAGAGTCATGGTCTCAGAGACGCTGTAGAAGGACAGAAGACCTGCCCTGTGATCCAGGTACACTCCCACTCTAGAGGACTGAGGACCTGAGACGGAAGTTTTTCTTTTGTTATGTCTGAATTCGTATCTTTTGTTGACACACTGTAATGCCCAAGACTTGTCATTGTGTCCAAATTCACTTTCATCATGTGTTCTCCTAATATCCTTGTATGTGACTGCTACTGAAACTTCAGCTCCGCTCCACTCCACCTCCCAGTAACAACGTCCAGTCAGGCTCTCTCTGCTCAGGACTTGATTCTTGTTGATGAAACTGGGTGATTTCTCGTCAGTGGCAAATAAATCTACTGCGAACGCGACTGCTGTTAATAATGTTGGTTTCATCACTGTTGCTTTTCTGTTCCCCTCAGATATTATCAAAAATGTGTTTGCTGTGTTTGGATCCAATGTGATTTGATGTGAATATTGTAAGAACTCAGCCCTGGTCTTGGGCTCTTGTGGCAGTAAAACATCCACTTCAGTCAGTGACAGTGAGATTTTTGTCCATTCCTCACTAAGCATGTCCTGTAGTTTATCTCTGGCCTCTGACACAGTCACCATCACATCCTTAAAATAGCTCAGAGGACGAATATTGATGTTGAGTGAGTCTGTAGATTCACTCATTTGAGACCATAAGGTGTAATTGTGTAGAAACTGAGTGTGGTCCTCTGTGTGTAAGAGTTGTTCCAGCTCAGCATCTTTCCTCCTCAACTCAGCGATCTCCTGCTGCAGCTTCTCCTGAAGCTCTCTGACTCTGCTCACTTCAGTTTTCTTTTGCGATCTGATCTCCTGCTTCACATCAGAACTTCTTTTCTCAATGAGATGGATCAAATCTGTGAACATCTTCTCACTGTCCCTCTCTGCTTTATCAGCAGAGCGATTGATAGCCTCCAACTCCTGCTGAAGCACCTTCACATCTTCCTCTCTGTTCTGGATTCTCTGCTGGATTCTTTTCTGACTCGTCCCAAGCTCTCTCTGCCTCTCAGTCCTTTCTAATGCTGCTACCTCATTGTGATGAAAGTAGGTATTCTGCTTCTCGGAGGGGTCAACCAGCTTGTGTTTTTCAAAGGCAGCGGATTCATAGTGAGGCTGGAGGTGTTGCTCACAGTAAGAGACCAGACACTGCAGACAGGACTTGAGAGCTTTCATCTTTCTCCCACAGCAGAAATCACAGGACACATCTCCTGGTCCGGCATAGCAGAGATCAGCTGGAGCAGCTTGAGGTTCTGTCTTCTTCAGCTCCTCCACTAAATCTGCTAACATGGTGTTTTTCACCAGGGCAGGCCTCTGTCTGAAAGTCTGTCTGCACAGAGGACAGCTGTAGACTTTCTTCTGATCTTCTTCATCCCAGTAGCTTTTAATACAGTTCATACAGTAGCTGTGTCCACAGGGAATAGTCACTGGATCCTTTAGTGGGTCCAGGCAGATCGAACAGCAGAGTCTTTCCTGGTCCATCTGAATTCCTTGCTGCGCCATTTCACCACCCAGAGACAGCGAGTGTCAAATAGTTTCCCTTCCTGATAAAATCTACCCTCTGATCTAAACCAAAACACAGTTTCGCTCGCTTGTTTACTGGCATCTGTAAAGCGGCGAATCTGTGTAGGGGGCAGAAAGCAGAAAACATCTTGACTAAAAGGGACTGGCTGTACTTGAGAGCAGGAAGAAGGAGGGGCATTTATGCATTTCAGGGAGGGTGATTTACTCACAGCAGAGTGTGTTTTTAAGCCATTATTTAGTGGTGCAACGGTTCATAGTTTATCTGTGGTCTGTATGGATAGACCCCCATGGTTTGGCATGCTTGTGAAACACTTTTACTGCTGCTTTTTAAAGTAATAATTCACTAAATCTCGATGCAGAGTTGCAGTGAAAAGATAGACAAGACAAATGCATGCTGTGCAACTGAATCACAGTGATTGGGTTAGGGCAGAGCAACTGAAAATATCCTGTAGCTATTGTACTTCGAGTCATGTCATCAATGTCATAGGGTGGAAGTCGAGGTGGATGGATGGGTCAGAAAATGTATTGAACACAGAAGACCAACTTGTTTCTTGTAATCGACTTTTTTTCCTCAATATTCTCTTATAGCTCTGTTTTGGGCCTCTCTCTAACTCCTGATGGAAATATCTGGCTCATTAGTTGCTAGATGTTTACCAGCTGTCTGGTGCTGAACAGGTAAGGTACTATGGGTTTTTAGAGTTTTTTCACTGAAAACCAAAAATTAAAATTACTCTATGAAATCAGTGAGAGTGAACCAAACCAGTAAGCACTGTTGCAGCCAGCTAAGCAATGAGCTGAAACTTGCTATAAAGTTCCATAAAGCTGATGGGAGCTGCAGCTGATAATTCTCTGTAGGTTCCAGAGCCGACTGATATGGGATTTTTGAGACCAATATTGATATTAAAGGGAAAAAACATTAGATTAGCGGCCATTATAGTGAATAGTCAGCTGGAATGACAATAGACCTTTTCTATGTGGATTGTGCACTGACATGACTATACAAATGGCTCAAAAGGCTGCTTTCTTTAAAAAAAATTACTTTATTAAAGGGTTATTTATGTTAAATATTATCTACTGGAAAAACTTCCACCAATGTATTACCACATGCATGTTTTCTGCATTATATTGCCTACCGGAAAAAATAGTTATTAATATCAGCACATTTCAGATAACATATATGCTGATACCGATATGTCTGCACTAGGCCAATATTGGCCAATATGTTGGTCGCGTTCTAGTAGGTTAATCACGAGTGACCCCTGTCACACAGTGATTATAAAATATGAATTATAGACCTACTGTTGCCAGTTTATCAAGAACTTAATAGCTTAGTGCCAAAATATATTTCTGATATAGTTTAAGAAAACATAGCAGATACTTCTGATCTTCAGCTGCTACCCACAAAGCTTCCTATTGATCATAAATGTGGCCTAACTCACTTTCAAATCTGAAAAAATAGCTTTATCAAGCATTTCCTTCATTAATTGTAGATTTTGCATTCTGCAGTGTACCTACACTATAACTCAAATAGTGTCAGATGATAACTGCAGAAACTTCTCTTTAAGTTGCACATGTAGTTCAGTTTTTCAGTCATACACTGCTCAATTTTACTACATTTACACCATTTTACTACATATTGCATATAGTGTATATATTTTTCATTATAGTCTTATATTTTATAATATTCTTATTTTGTGATTCTTTATTGTACCTTTACACTTCTGTACTTTTTGCACTACATTCCCCTATTGCTGCTGTATCTGATTTGAATTTCTCCTATGGGGAATCAATAAAGGAACATCTTATCTTATCTTAACTGAACTTCAGCCAGTTGCTGACGTTCATGGATGAAATCTTAACAATTAGGTTCATTCGGTTTTTCAGCACTGTCACAAGTTAGATTCGAAGTCCTATGATTTCTTTGAATTTTTTCATTGGTTTTTGAATTTTGATGCACTCTAGGTGAATGGGTTTCTGTTGTTTTCATATACTATATTGCGAGTTTGTACAGTATATATAGTTGTTTGCTTCATACCTCTGTATAGCCTGATCTTCTGGTGGTAAAATTGACTGACAGCACTCAAGGAGCTGTAAGCACTGTCCATACATACATATGTCCATACTACATCTACCCATGTTACTGTCTGCATACTAGATCAGTTACCAGTGCCACATTCACTGGAGGACAGCAGTTTCCACAGAGAGCTCACACGACGCACATGCCTTTGAAAAAGGATTGTGTTTATTTACAGTGATTTTCATCAGAATTACAATACAAATGACTTATAGACCGACTCTCCACAGACGGAGAATTCATTCAGAGCTTGAGGAGGTCAGCTAGAGGCTGTGTGTATGTATGTGTGTGTTTGTGGTTATTGACAGCAGAGTGTGTGTCAGCTTTGGCAGAGGGAAAGTCCATGGATGTATCTGCAGCCTCCTCTTCCTCTTCTTCTTCTTCTCACCCTCCCCTTGGTTCTCCTGCTCAGTGACTCTCTCCTTTCTTTCCCACAACCTACGGTTCAACAAAATACAATTACATGCATGAAAACAACACATTTACAAACAAACCTCAACATAAGTGAATCAAAGTTGTGACTGGCCCGTACCCTTTTGAAGTCGTTCATGTTGGTGGCCTGTACTGGAGTACCAATGAATGTCAGGTAGTTGATTTTTGTTGTCTCCTCGTCTCCTTGGTTCGACTTGACAAACAACTGGGGAGAAAAAACAAAAGACAAATAGCATCAATAAACATACTACACCAGTTAAGACGGTGTTTTCTGAAAACCTATATGACTGCTGGTACCATTTAGTGTAGGGAACATGAGTACATAAGTACCAGCAGAGAGAGGTCGTTTTCTGAGTGAAGACAGTTGATAAAACCCTTTTACTCTTGGTCCGAAAAGTAGGACCAAAATTGTTGGTTGAATGCTGATCATTCACAAATCAGAAACTCTTCCAGTGATGGGTCTGACAAATGATTTAAGGTTATGAAGTGTGAACACAAACTCCTAGAGAGAAAATCTCAGTTTAATATATTTATGTTAGATATTATATTAAATCTAATAATAAACAGATTCACTCTAACCCAGAGCAGGTGCATGTTTTACCAGCACATGTTGAAATGATGCCTACTTTGCTGCTGATGTGAGCATACTGTATGATTAGCCTTGTTGTACTGCATTAGCCAGTACCTTTCAATACATTTCAAATGAAATCTGACACTTTGTATCAGCAGTAATCTGGTCCTCACCGTAACACTCTGGACGTTCTGGAACTTGACGTAGCGCAGGGGAATCAAACCGTCGTCTTTGTAGTCTTCCTCTGACAGCTCCAGAGCCTGAGTGGCTTCACTCCGCTCGGCGTCGTCAAAACCCATCGACCGGGGGAGATTGATGAAAACCTTCACCATCTTAGGGGCTTGGGCTGACACGGAGAAGGAAGGAGGAGGCGAGGAGGGGAAATGAGGGATGGAAGGGAGGATGGAGCAAAGGATAGGATGTTAGTTATCAGGGAATGTTTCACTGAAATACCTCCAGATGATGATGATTAATACTGAAGTGTAGAGCAGCATAACAAAAACATACCAAAGTCTGAGGACAGTAGCTTCATAGAGAAAAGCTTCACAGGCTGGTTGAAGGCGATCGTAATCAGCAACTAGACAAGATTAAAGATCAGCAACACATTAGACTAATTACTAACAAATTCAACTTATTTGAGGAGTACACTGGCAGTACAAAGCGACTACCATTGGGCTGAAATGTAACATCTGTCCCTAGGTGATGAAGAAAAGTTCTGATGTAGGGGCTGGATATCAACTTGTGTTTTCGACTTTTGTCCCGTTTATATTCTTCAAAGCAAGGTTTGAAAAAAAATATGGTGCCAAGAATACGTAGACATTGAGTTGGCTATTGACCTCTTGCTAACTCCCTCCCCCAAGCAGCGACTGTCCAGTCATAGGTTAGCCACTGTTACCATTTCCCACACACATCTGGTTGCCTGCTTTCTATTAGCATTTCTCCAGGAACGTTAATACAACCAAGTATGCAAGCTAAGCAACAGGGTAACAGTATGATCTGACATTTCTCCTCATCATACTGAAGGACTAACTCGCTCTACACTGCAATAAAAAGAACAATGCTGTCTTTTAATCTATATGGATGATGATGTTGTGAGGATGTTTTTGGCTGGGACGTGTAGCTTTAGCTTTACCATCATACCTCTATTACAAGATGCAGAAAATACAGAGACAATGTTTACAACCCATTTGCAGAGGCACGGTGAGTTTGATTAGACAGCTAGCTACAGCTGATTAAAAAAAGAAGAAACTAAATGAAATTGTCAGTTTCTAAAGTTAAGATCTATTACTATTATATTCACAGAGCCTTCACTCTCTGATAACCAGTCTCATCATTATAAGTATGTCATTAGAACAACAAAAGACTAATGGCCAAGTATCAGAAGGAAGAAAACACAATACAATACATTGTAATATACAATATGTAATATACATAAAATAGGTCAGTCAGGGGTTGTCAGTTTACTTAAACTGATAACTGCCCGAATATTGGGAGTGTGAAAAATGACAACACGTATGCTTAAACTGTATACTTGATTGATTCCAAGATCACACATTTTGAGCGGGGACGGGTTGTTGGGGTTAACAGCTCGTACCTGTTCGTCACAGTCAGACTCCAGGTAGGTGGAGTCTTTGATTAAGCAGTTATCGAAGCCACAGTCGTCGCTCTCGTTCAGGCATTCACAGCCAGCTTTGCTGACAAAAGGCATGAGGTCCATCTGAAAACGAAGCAAACCAGACTTCAACTTCTATTTCAGTCTTCATTAAACATTTATGTACATATTGTATACAGTAACAGTTCTATCCATTAATATTAAGGTTTTGAAAGGTGTCATTGTCCACTCACATATCCTTTTGGGATGTCAGAGTCCTCGCTGTTTCCCGGGTCATTCTCTGTGTGCTGTTTGATCTTCTCTTCCAGACCTGCGGCGTCTGCCCCCTGATACTGATCCACCCGAACCCGGTTCCTGAAGAACAAGAACGTCGGTGTGGCTGAGATGTTGTTGGCTGCTGCTGTTGCCTGAAAAAAAAGGGGGAAAGAAGAAATGGTTTTGTAAAGTTTGCCTAAACCAGTTTCAAACTAACTACTGGATCTCCTAGTTTTCCTGATTCTAATTTCCAAGTCTGCAACGTTCACTGTTTTAGCAGGAAACCAAGCGGTTAAATTTGAATGCCAAATAAAACAGTGCGATTTCCAATTTAAGGATAAATGAAGTTGAATTGAAATGTTCTTTTTTATTATGGTCAACAAAACACCAAGAATGAACTGATCCAACTAACAAGTACTGTCTGTGTAGTTAAAGCCTGATATACTTCTTCCTCTGTGTTATAGAGCTCCATTGTTGTCCGAAAACTATTAAAAGCACATCAGTGAGCCACACTGTTGCACTGGGTAACATGTCATTATAATGAACACATACACATGCACCATTTCCTTCTGTGTGAGTAACATTTGTTAAAAACTACAGTGCGCCGCCATTTTAGGAATTTGCTGAGCCTTTTTTCACTTCCTCCAGACTACACTGACTTTACAAATCAGTATCGACGTATACGTTATCCAACTATTGTTTTCCTGGTGTATAATGCAGGAAAAAAATGCTTGTGGTAATATATTGGTGTCACTGTAAAACTGATTGTGCCGCGATTTACAATACTGTGGCAACCAGCACAGAGTAAAGCCTTGGACACACTGCTCAGGTGGGCCGCGCAGTTCCCAGCTAAAACAGACAGTGAAAAGGATCTGCACCTTTCACTACTTCTATTTCCTCAGACAGAGAAACACAACACCTCCTGTATCTGTTTCAGATTAAAAGCTCTCTGGTGTTTCTGTGGACAGAGTCTATTCATATGTTAACAAGGCTGTTATTGTACTGTATTGTATTTATCGAAGGCAGACTCAGTGTATTGAAATAATGATCAATGCCACCGCTGGGTTTTCAGAGGAAAGTGATTCGGAACCGGATGAAACCCACATGGTGGATCAGACTTACCTGACAGACATGAACATCTACTTCAAGGAAGACGACCTGTGGGTACTTGTTACTCAACATGTTGAAAGCTGGAGCTATTCTGACACAGGGCCGACACCTGAAGAGGCAGAGGAGAGTGCGTTAGTCTGTAAACTGCTCTGGTCTCAAGTAGTCTAAAGGAATGATTATTCAATTCATCAACAAATCGGTTGAATTAAAGAAACAATTGAACTGTTTCAGTGACTTATACAGTAAAAAGCTACACTTTAGCTCCAGCTTGTCAAATGTGCAGATTTATTGCTCATCTGTGTTGTATACATTACATTTTGAGGTTCCTGCACTGTTGCCATGCTTCACTGTATCTCATAAAACCTAGGAGGAACACTAAGAATCTGATCATCATGTGTATACTGTCATTCCAGCTTTTAGTATCTAACAGTGTCCAATACTGACAATTTAGTTACAACACAAAATGTAGTGGTTATAGCCCAGGCAGACTTTTAGGGCATAGTTTTAAAACAAATCCACCAACATCTGATCTCAGTCAATTTTTACAACAACAAAGAATATTAACAAACATTTTGGTACGGATCCCATGATTACTTTCTTTTTTTAAAAACTGGACCAAGATATGTACTGGGCAGGACGCTGTACAGTTGAAAATTAACTTAACAGTGCTCTCTGGTGGACAGACTATGTAGTTGAGACATTTTTCCTCAATGAAAGATATCTATGAGATTTCTGTACAGACATTTATTACTACTTATTGGTTGACAAACAAAACATTTCAGATTTCAAAAACTTCCTAAGAACTACTGCTGTATTATGGTATCTCATCCACTATTACTTTAAACTTTAAAGTCCACACTGGAATTTTATCATTTCCTTTACAGAACTTGAGGTACTAGCTGAGCTAGGCACAAATCCACTGTAACTTTTCAAATCAGTCAGAGTCTGACGCTACAGCGCAGGTTTTACTTATCATACTACTTTGTCATTAGTCACTGCTGCTGGTCATTTATTTTCCAGGAAAACACATCTAGACTAATAGGTTAGGAATGGCAGATCTTCATAGTTTCTGACACACACATTTTCTAGACTGTTACAATATAGATTCCCCCCAAAAATCGGTGTTTTTTTCTAGGTCCAGTATAGCCATTGTGCAGACCTAAGAGACATTTAATAAAGTATTCCTGTGGGATAAAACGAGTAACCCCTAGTGACTAATGACTAATAGTATGATAGAGAAATGGCTGTATCTCATAAACTACAAGGAGTTACCATTCAGTATCAATAATATGTGCTTTGATCCATAGTAAATATTTCTGAACATGATATTTAACATGTAAGGTGAAACATATATTTGTAATTCTTTTTGTTTTTTAAAGAAAAACCACTCTCTACCAATTTAAGCATGTTGAATATGTAATATGAAAAATATGTATCTATCATGTCATGTCTGGGGTGTTTCCACAGCAACTTTTAAACTCAAACTATAAATAGATTTTTTTTTATAAATGCCCATCACCTCTTACCAGAATTCAATCATGAAATTGCTTACTTTCTCTGACCTCTCATAAATCCCACAAAGTGTTTCATTTAATAACAGGATTAGATTCAGCAAAACTTTAGAAGCTTTCGGATTTTAAAAGCTGTAAATAGAACACAATTTGATGTAATCTTATCAAACTTAACAGCCCGACACACTTGGATCAAAGCCTCGTACCAAGTCCAGCCAAAGAGTGACTAAAGACACAGGACTGCTACAGTGGGGGTAAAATACAACAGGTTATGGTCTAACGTTTGTGTCTGTATTGGTGGTCATGCTGCTGCTTTTTCCTGGTGGTCATCGCAGACTAACTAACCAACACACCACTGGGTCTCAGGACACCTTAGCAGCCAACTTACTGTAATACTGCTATGTCATTGTAAGCAACACAGCTAGTTAGCTAACCCCTGCTAACGATAGCATGCTAACCTAGCTTTCCTAGCAATGAGATCTGCTCTCGTGAGACAATGTAACTAGTCAGCTCGTGTCAGCTGCCCAAAATAGTTCAACAACGAGCTCTGAGTGTTTTCCAGTCTCATGTCGAGAGAAGAGGCTAACGTGCTAAACGCCCAGCTAGCCGCGAGGCCTCGAAGCCGGTTTGGTGATCTTACCCAGCCATTGTGAACTTCACCACGGCGAGCCTGGAGCCGGCGGCCGCTAGCTCCGGCTGGAAGTCCGGGTCGCTCCCGATCACTTTAACGCCGACCATGGTACAGTTTGCGGCTGGGGTGCGGACTGGTTACTCCGGGTAATGTTCAGGACAAGAGACTGGCCAACCTAACGAATATAACGTGTTGTGTTTTTAGCTTTCTGTCAGTGTATTAGCTCACTAGCTGCTCCGCTGTGTCTGAGCCACACTACAGGTACAGTGCGCTGCTTCAGGATGTGGACTCCTGATTGGCCAACCACCACAGGAAAGGCGGGGTTTTTCTTCTTCTTCTTCTTTTGTGCTTTTTGTCAGTTTAGAAGCTTCTAGGCGTTTTACTGCCGAACACAGGATAAAGAAGAAAGAAACTAAAAGTGCTCCCCGCTTCAGTGTTATATTTCCAGCGTTTATAAAACATGTTAGGCAGGACTGCTACAGGAGTCCAGCCCATCAGGACATTTCACTGTCTGTCAACTCTTATACAACAAATAGCGCCCTTTGTGTCTGAGCAATCCCTTCTTTTTCTCTCCATCGTATGCTCTTAAATTCCACTTCACCAAGAGCAACTTTAATGTTAATTTCTCCTTTCATTGAGGTTGACTTTGCAATAGCCTACATTCTGGTTTTTCATTTCCCTGAATCCCAGCCAGCTTTTCCATTAACCCAGGGTAAATGTACCATACAGCCCATCTTCCCAAGTCTAATCAAAACTGTGAAAATCTCATTCCTGTAGTCCAGCTTTGAATCTGTGCTCATGGAGTTCCATCTTTTTCTTTAGTTTTTTTGTTACTGTAGAAATGAGTAATGCTGTTATACTTAAACATATAATGAAAGGGACACTCCGGTGAGTCATATTGTATTCAATAAAGTTGAAGGACTCACAAGACAGATAAGAAAAGTGGTCCAAATTGAAGCAATACAGGCCTTGCTTTGAGTGCCTATTCTATAAAAGCCTTACATCGTAAGCAGTTGTTTACGATTACGCTATTGTGATCCCTGGAGGTGGCTCGTTATATTTCCACTAAAAATAAAACAAACAAACAAACAAACAAACAAACAAGAATATTCAGTTTATATATTGGGTCTTCAAAATGGTCTCTGAAACTATAAGCCTGGGATAGCTTGTGTCATAAAATGAGAAAATGAAAACTTTGGTGTACAGTAAATCCATCATTAGAAAGGTTAAATACTGACATAGGTCGAGAGAGTAACGTATGTGGCACACTGTGTCTGCCCGATGATGATGTAAAAGCATTGTACAATTAATAGTAAGTTATATATGTTTTTATTACTTTCTTAAGTGCTGTGACAATGGCTAAAACATGTCTGTTACTCACTGTGGTCAAGCTGTACTGTAAAGTCAATACACCTGTATATTCCCTTTCATTTTTACAACAAAAAATAAAGTGTATTGCAGCAGTAACCTTCATTTACTCATGGTAAATATGCAAGCCCTCTTTACCAATGTGTCCTTTTTACAAAAACATGGTTTAGAGATACAATAATATGGTTAGTGTTGATTGTAAGAATATTTATGACACCAAAGAACTACCTTTGAGTACTACAAAGCTTTAGAAAGCCGCAGACAAGATTTCTACAAAATCTTCTTTAATAGTCTTTATTGTCCAAAAATAGCAAATTCTATTTTTCAAACACTATTTTGATTCAGTTTATCAAGATAGCTCACAGGTCAAGAAAAACAAACATGGACTTTGTTAGAGTTATACTAATCAACTGAGCAGCAACATGGACTCAGTTAGGAACCTGTCATAATGAAAACACAAACAGAACCTAAACGGTCTGGGTTTGATGAATTTTGGTTACCACTGAATCCAGAAGACATTCTGAATGACAAATAACAAAAAAAAAAAAAATACAAGCTTGCTGAAATTACTTGTTAAAAATTAGGAAGCAGCAAACAGAGTGCCTAAAGTCCTAGTTGCTATGACTTTCAATTCAGTTCATTTCAGTTTCATTTGTATAGCGGCAAATCATAACAGAATCATAACAGAAGTCATCTAGAAGTCTCTAGGACTGCCTTCTTTCATTTACGTAATATTACAAAAATTAGACACATCCTATCACAGACAGATGCAGAAAAACTAATCCATGCATTTGTTACTTCAAGGCTGGATTACTGCAACTCTTTATTATCAGGTTGCCCCAATAAGTCCATTAAAACGCTCCAATTAATTCAGAACGCTGCAGCACGAGTACTGACAGGAACTAGAAAAAGAGATCACATCTCTCCTGTACTAGCTTCTCTGCATTGGCTCCCTGTAAAATGTAGAATAGAATTTAAAATCCTCCTCCTCACCTATAAAGCTCTTCATGGTCAGGCCCCTTCATATCTTAAAGAGCTCATAGTACCCTATTACCCCACTAGAACACTACGTTCTCTGAATGCTGGGCTACTTGTGGTTCCTATAGTCTCTAAAAGTAGAACAGGAGCCAGAGCCTTCAGTTACCAAGCTCCTCTCCTGTGGAACCAGCTTCCAGTTGTGGTTCGGGAGGCAGACACCCTCTCCACATTCAAGAGTAGGCTTAAGACATTCCTCTTTGATAAAGCTTAAAGTTAGGGTTGGATCAGGTGAGTCCTGAACCATCCCTTAGTTATGCTGCTATAGACCTAGACTAACGGGGGATTTCCCATGGTGCACTGAGCTCCTCCCTTCCTCTCTCTTTCTGCACTCATTCATGTTCCATTAATGCATGTTACTAACTTCACTTCTTCCCCGGAGTTCTTGTGCTTTCTCGTCTCGCAGGTTCTTGTCGATCCTGGTGGAGCCTCCTGCCATGGTCCTGCTAGATTGCCATTGCCAATACTGTTGTTGCTGTGCACCTGTCTGTCTCTCTCTCTGTCTCTCTCTCTCTCTCTCTCTCTCTCTCTCTCTCTCTCACCCCAAGTGGTCGAGACAGACGACCACCCACCTAGAGCCGGAGGATCTGTCCTAGGTTTCTGCCTTTTAACAGGCAGTTTTTCCTTGCCCTTGTCGCCAAGGGCTTGCTCATGGTGGTACTGTTGGGTCTCTGTAATTAATGTTATAAAGAGTTCGGTCTAGACCTGCTCTATTTGAAAAGTGTCCTTAAATAACTTCTGTTATGAATTTGCGCTATACAAATAAAATTGAATTGAATTGAATTGAATCTCAGTACACTTTTCAAATAGAGCAGGTCTAGACTGTACTCCTTATATGATTATTTACAGACCAGCCAAACAGTTCCCACCATGAGCAAGCACTTGGCAACAGTGGCAAGGAAAAACTTCCAGGCATGTACAGGCTTTAAACATGTCTTTTGTTAAGTTGTCATAATTGTATTGTTGATAGGCACATTATATAAATAATTTATTAATTTGACAATAAAGCCACTAGATATAATTAGATATAAGTCTAAGCCATTTCTTTACATTGGGTACATGTTAGATAACTCCTCTTTTTTGGTTGAATACATCCTTGCCTTTTTTGAACAGTGCATCAAATCTGAGTTCCCTCACCTCAGGGCTAGGGTCCTCTGCCTGTCCTTATGCCCTCAGTGCGGCTGCCTCTTGAACATATTTCTACTTTTTAGTAGGACAACTACTAAATATTGTATCCTCGAGGTATCCTTGAACATAATACTGAACCCCTAATTTGCTCCCGATGCTGTGTATGAATGAATTACTTTCTGTTTGTCATCACTGTATCAATGTGGGAGAATGTGGCATGTAGTGTACAGTGCTATCTGCAATCAACTCATCAACCAGTATAACTGTATATCTACTCTGGTTCTCCATCTACTTGGTGCCAGATCGTCAGCAACTGTGGAAATTTAAGATGAAACCCTGGGTGCAATTTTGTTTTACAATTAGCCATGACCAAAGGTAATATTTTATAATGACAACAACCCAACATCCTTTCGAAACCTCAAAGCAGTCATATGAACCGCTATCTTGCTATTCCAGTTCATTATTTATCTTTTATAAGCTACTCTTTGTGCTCTTGTTATTTTTTATTCTGCCCTTTCTGTATGCTGTTGCAAACTGCAATTTCCCCATTGCGGGACAAATAAAGGTTTTCTTATCTTATCTTATCTTATCTTTTTCTTTAAAAAAGATCGGTAAAACTTCTAATGCAAAACGGTTATCTCATGTCATGTCACCTTAAAACTATATTGTTTTTGCTAATTGACAAAATAATTACAGTTTAAATGTCTGAAGTTTTAATTGTCTTACCTGGACATCTAATGTTATGCACCAGACTGCCTGTTTAGCAGTGAGCCGACAGGATGTGGAGTCTTATATCGGTGGTCAACCATGTGCATAGATTATAATAGCCTATTGAACCTACTGGTAGGTATAGCAGGCCCCTTCTGACCCATATCTATGAGGCTGAGGCCCACTAATGAGACCCATTCAATATTCAATTAGGGTTTTTTATTTACTTTTTTAATTTTTATTTTCAGCTTCTTCATACTTCTACTCCACAGCAGTTCAGATGTATATGTTGTACTTTTTAATGTTTATAACAGGTTTCCCAGGGTTTAGAAGAGCTTTTACTGTTATTGTTATTCTTCTTTTTCTTTCTTTTTTTAGCTTGTGTTGTGGTGTATGTATTTTACTGTTAAGTCCTGAGTAAGTATTATCGGATATTTTTTTATTTTACTTTGTTCAAGAGGGTTAGTATATTATTTGTTTTATATTTATTCTGACTTTTATTGCCTTTAATGGATAGTGAGAGCTGAAGAGTGACAGGAAAGGGTGGGAGAGAGAGAGAGAGAGAGAGGGAATGACACGCGGTAACAAACCAAGGGCTGGGCCACTGCAGTAAGGATGCAGCCTTTGTACCTGAGGCGCCAGCTCTACCAGGTGAGCTATCTGGGTGCTCCGTTTAGAGGACATTTAATATTATAATATAATAATAACGACAAATGGAATGGTTAGTTTAAATTGTGATATTACAATGGAATGCAATGTCCACATCCAATGGTGATGGCACAATGGAATGGAATGTTCACATCCATTTGTGATGTCACAATACAATGTAATGGTCAGTTCAGATTGTGATGTCACAATGGAAAGCAATGGTCAGTTCAGACTGTGATTTCAGAATTAGGAGTGGGATGAAACAGATGAATGGAATGGAATGTTCATTTCAAATTGTGATGTCACATTAGAATGGAATCTTTACACCTAAAGGTGATGTCACAATAGATTGGAATGGTTAGTTCCAATTGTGATGTCACAACAAAATGGAATTTGATATTCAAAA